AAAGAGTGTAGCAGACCAATTAACTGAAGTAACTAGCTCAGCTGAGAGTAGGGTTGTCTGCCTTCAGGCATGGTCTGTAGACCCTCTGGAAGTACAACTCATCTCCATTGTTCAGAGATCAGTTCCCCTGGAGAAAATGGCCCTTTTGGAGGGTGGACATTCCATATTCTATCTTCCCCAGGTTCCAACCCTAAATATCCAGGAATTTCCAAACCTAGAGTTGGCAACCCTATTTGAGAGAGCTTCCCAAGGGAGCCTGGATTACAGGCTGGGTTTTCCTCACTGACACCCCCCCCCCCCCGGCTGATCTTCCTAACTTCAAGTTTCTGTGATCTCTTCAGTCATATCCTGGGAGCCATATCACATACATTGTTTCTCCTCTTTCTGTCCAGTAGATTAGATTTGTTGGAGGAGTTAGTGGAAGCAGTTCATGAAGCAGATCATTCCCTGCCTTCCCCAGCAGCTTGTTCTGAAAATCCTCTCTGAGGGTTGCGGGGGGGGATCCTTGTGAACAAAATGCAATGGGGGGGTGTAGTGAGGAAAAGTAACTGGATATGAGGTTTCTGCATTCCCCATATTCTGGTATATACAAGGAGATATCTGCTCCATAAAATCCTGCTACTATTGTTGCACAGAGGACCAGTTTATTATAAGCAGCTTTTCTTTCCCATGTCAGTTTCTAAGGCATGTTTATGGATTTTTAGGTTAGAAGGAGATTTTTTTTTTTTGTGGAGAAGTCTGTACTGAATTCTCATTGAAGTGAATACAATATTTGAAACATTATAAGATTTTTTTAAACCCACATATTAAATTTGTATATCGTCTTTCCTTCTGGTATGACATTCACATTCATTCCCTTTTGATTCTTGCAGCTATGTGATGTGTGCTGCACTGAGTTTCATGTCTGTGAAGAGATTTTAATCGATCTCCCAGATCCTAATCTGACATTATGATGGGAAACCCTTGGTGCCATGGTATTTTTCACAGCATTTTCTTGACCTTTTCTCCATCCTGGTAAAAAACAGAGTTGGGTTATCTGTATAATGTTTGTCCTTAGTGAATAAGCATCATGTATGAGAGTTGATAACCAAAGGAAAAGCGTTCTTGGGATTCTTAGGAGAAATTTGATAGACTTGCCCAGATGCAAATTGTACCAACGAGAATTATCAAAGCTTTCTCTTTAGAGGTAATCTTGAAAAAAGATATAAGGGGATGTTGAAAAGGGGATGAAAAGGGGATGTTGAAGTGGGAGGCCTGTTTCCTTAAAGAACAATGACGTGGGTTTTTCAGGAAAAAAATGATTTGGAAAAATTTCCAGTACCCTATACTTTTCTTACATTGTTTAAATTTCCAGTTCCTGTTTGTTTGAGACTTCAGGAAGAGGACTAGAGTGGATGGTTCAGTTAATCAGCAATGGGAAACATGGCTTAATGTGCAAAGAAACTAGATGAGAAAAACTGTCAAAACTTTTTTTTAAAAAAAAAAGCACAGAAAGTTATTTACTAGACAGAGCTCGGTTTGTATGAAAAACTTCTGTAAATTTTGAAACCATGGGGGGATTATTTTCTTTTGGTAGGGGAAGGAACTTTCTTTACCATCAAACCTAAATTTCATTTACTGATTTAGAAGTATAAATATCTTAATTGTATATAAGAAAGATTGCAAGTATACCAGGACATGAAAAAAGTTGCAAACTACTGAACCCTAACCTTAGCTATCTAAGAGGCTGAGAATAATTTCTGTAGTAAACAAAAGAAGTGTATTTTTGGGACAGAAACACTCTCAATGGTCACAATAAGTAGGACTGCCAGGATGATTGGATATTAAACTCTGAAACACTGAAAACACTAAATATTTTAATACTGCATTATCATTATATTGAAGCCAAAACTATATGTCTATGGAATAAGAGGGGTTTTTCGTTGCTTCCAAAACGTCTCAGTTTTTCTGCTGGAAAAACAGAAAAATCCCTCAGACCTATTCATGCTGTATATTTGGAATGAGTGAAATGCTTTGTGGTGGGCAGCCCTGTCGGGTTTTCAAGGCAAGAGATGAGCAGTGGTGGTTTGCCGTTGCCAGCCCCTGCGTAGTGGCCTTCCATCCAAGGACTGACCAGGGCTGACCTTGCTTGCCTTCCAAGATCTGATGCGGTCAGGCTAGGCTGGCCATCCAGGTCAGAGCAAAAAAATGCTTTGTAGGACAAAAAGAGGAAAAAAATATTTCTTGGGAGGTTTTTCCAGTGCTCTCCACATTTTCAAATTTTTGTATTGGAAAAACTGAAAAAAATGAAAGTTCCCCCCCTCCCACCTCCCTGATTTTTAAAATATTTTTCCCCTGGATGTTCACATCTGTAGTTATGAAGAGCTAACAGAAGAAAACAAAGCCATGGGTCTAAAATATAATAGAGGAATTCGAAGATATTTGTCAAAAGAGTATGGCATTTACAGGGCTATACATTTCTGTTTAGTTGCCCCCATGGGATTCTGGGTTTGGTTACTTAATGATTTCTGCATTTACAAGATGTCTTTAATTTATGAAGTAAATCTCATGTTGCATTCAATGCATGGAGAGCTGAATGTGTGATTGGAACCACACATTTATACAGGTACCGGTCCCCAGTTTTATTTGTAAACTGAATGCATGTTGGCTTTTTCTTATGAACACTGTGGAATGGGATTACCAGCATACTTGCAAATTTAATACTTGCATTTTTTTGCCTTTAGCACCTTTAGTTTTTCTTTAAGCTATTTCTTTGCCCTAAAACTTAAAGGTGGGGGGAATACTGATGAGTACTCACAACTTACAACTCAATTGCATGACATCTTTCCTTGTTGGTAAAGGATATTTTGTTACCGCTACTATTACTTTTGCATATCAGTGTCAGAATTGTTGTAGTCCCTGTACAGAATGATGCAGTACTTTCTACCACCATTATTTTTTTCTCTTGTGTATGAGTTGCATAATTGGTTATAGTTGGTGACTGTACAACAAGATGCTGAAGCAAGATCTTCCAGCAGAAAACAGAAGCAAGTCCTACTGAGCCCAATAGGAATTATAGCTTCTGGCATCCCTACAGAATTTGTGTGAAGAAATACATATATTTGCATCCCAAGGTTCTTTGAGACCACTTCCATCAGTCTATATGTGTATCTGTTTAAGGAAACTGAATAGTGACATGTATAATAGCATCTGAAACGTGTGTTTTCTTTTGAATGTCTTTTTATAGAGATGCTGCAGTTTGTCAGCAACCAGGTTGGAGAGTTTCCGGATCTGTTTTCTGAACAGTTGTGTGGCACCTTCCAGAACAACAGTGCATGTAATGGAAATGGGGCGGCAGATGTCTCATCACAGAGGACCTTCAGCCAGGGACAGCTTCAGTCTTTCCCACCTAATGCAGCTTCTCCCCAGCTTCAGGCAGTGCAAGTGAAAGTGTCCCAGTCGGCTGCTGCAACGCAACGGGCTGCCCCCCCCCTTCAACCTCGTCCTCAGGTTCAGCCTCGGCTTCAGCAACAGACTGTGATGATTACTCCAACTTTCAGCTCTGCTCCTCAGACACGGTTCATTCAGCAGCCTGTAATTTATCAAAATGCAGCCACAAGTTTCCAAGGTAGGGTCTGAAGGATCTCAAAATAATGGGCATTGTATTGTAGGAAGCTTTTGAAGTCAGGTGTATTAAATAGGAAGAACTAAACCAGGGGTGTCGAGCTCATTTGTTATGAAGGGCTTTCAAGATCTGACAAGAGCCAGCTACCCTGGGCAGTCCAGGTCAGGGCTACTAAAGCTCAGGGGTCGTTCCGTAGAAAAAGAGCTTGCCTCATCCGGCCCCCGGCTGCATGTTTGACATCCGTGAAGCAATGTTCCCTCTAAGCTGAGTTAGTGTGAACTAGCTCACAGTTTTTTACCCTCCGGCTCACACATTTTTGTCTTAGCTCAGTAAAGATGGCGCCAGAGCAAACTAATTTATGCAGTAGCCATATTGCTCGTTCACAACTTTAATGCCAGTTGCTCACAAAGTAGAATTTTTGCTCACAAGACTCTATAGCTTAGAGAGAGCATTGCCCTGAACTAAACATTGTTGAACAAATAGCAATATTTCGATAGATACAGTTGGGTTGCCTTGTTGGTCTCAAGCAGTAGAACAAAGTGTGAGTCCAGTGGCGCTTTTAAGACCAGCAAAGTTTAATTCTGGGTATAAGCTTTTGTGTGCATGCACACTTCATCAGATACTTTGAAACAGTTTTCCTTAAGCCTTACATATAGGTAGAGAGAGGGTGGGGGGATTAGTTGACAGGAAGGGCTAGTTAGAGTCAAGATGCATAAGTAACTGGGCAATAAGTATACTTGAGATTGGATTAAAGCAGTTGGTAAGGCCTGTGAATGGCAGCAAATGAGCATAGAAATACAAGAGTTAACAGTGAGAACTGTTTTATTTTTTATCTCTCCTTATGTATAATTCTCTTTTGGTGTGAACGCTCCACACGCTCCCACAGCCTTTGGTTCCCTGAGCTGCCACTCTGAGGTTTTGCCAGTCCCCTGGGTTCGTTGCCTGAGTCTCGCCTCCAATATTCTAAACAGTTTGCTGTTCTTCTCCCCCCAGTAGCCAGTCAGAACACAGAGGTCATTTGCATATGTGGCCTGATTGGCCTTTGCCTCTAACATTCTAAACAGTTTGCTGTTGCTGTTGGGAGTCATTCAATGTGTCCTGAGGTAAAACACATATCCCAATCTTCCCTTAAATGGTCATTGGAGTTGCCAATCTCCCTGTGAGGCCTGGCGATCTCCCAGAAATCACCGGGTTCATCAACCACAGCACATCATTTCCCCTTCAGAAAATTCCCCAGTGATTACAATGGCTGCTTTGGACAGTGGACTCTATGGCATTATACCCTGCTGAAGTCCCCCCCTACCCCCAAACCCTGCCCTCCGCAGGCTCTGTTCCTCAAATCTACAGGTCTTGCCCTCCCCTTAGTATTGCCAGCCTCCAGGCAGCACCTGGAGATCTCCAAGATCAGTTCTCCAGGAGAAAATGTCTGCTTTGGGCAATGGACTCTATGGCATTATACCCTGCTGAGGTTCCTCCGCACCCCAAACCCTGCCCTCCACAGGCTATACCCCTTAAATCTACAGGTCTTGCCCTCCCCTTAGTATTGCCAGCCTCCAAGCAGCACCTTGAGATCTCCAAGATCAGTTCTCCAGGAGAAAATGTCTGCTTTGGGCAATGGACTCTATGGCATTATACCCTGCTGAGGTTCCTCCGCACCCCAAACCCTGCCCTCCCCAGGCTCTACTCCTCAAATCTACAGGTATTTCCCAACCCAGAGTTGGCAACCCTGTAACTGGCTATGGAACCGCTTTCCAGACCCTTGGAACCCAGAAGACATGGCATAGGAGGAGGTGCTTTTCTCCCTTAGCTGCCACTGCATAACCCCAAATCAACATAAGTCAGAGGTGGAAGGAACCATACCTGTTACCATGAGGCTGTCCTCCCATACTACCCACTTGGGGCAGCAAAATGACTTCAGACTGTCCTGCCTTGTAGCTAAGCCGAAGGAAATAAACATGGCTTGCCTCCCTCTATTTTCCCTTCCCTCTGCTGCCCCACCAGCCACAGTCGGGACACTCACCTGGAGTTTCCTTCTAGAGTTCGTTGTATTTCTTCCACAACCGGCCTTACTCCTAATTATAATATATTTACATATATACATATACACACACACACACACACATACACACACACACACACACACACACAAATAATGGTCATACCATCATGTGGCTCTTAATAGAGCTTGGATTTTAGTAAATGTGACTATATAAATTAAGATTTGGTAGGCAGATTCAAGAACCTTGGCATTTGCAAAGGGATGAAGTGGGATACCATAGCCAAGATCAGGAAGATGAGTTTCAGCTGTGTTTCCAGAGGCCTGATTATGTTAGTCTGTTGCTAGGGGGGAAAAGGGGTACATCTTAAAAGACTAACAACATTTTATTCCAGTCGAAGCTTTGTGGACTAAGGGCTCCTTTAGTTTCAATATGTGGATTCATACTATGATGTAATTGTCCATAGGTGGTATGGTGTGAAAAAACTTAGGCAATGTTAATGTTAGTTTTTCCTTGCCCATAATTTCTTTGAATCTGGCAGCAACCTGTGCCTTTAGCTTAATGGCATAGCCATTGGCAGGGAGACTCAACCCAAAAGTGGGGGGACTCAGCCTAAAGAAACAGATCAAATAACAAAAGAATTAAGTAAACAGGCCTCAGAACTGTGTACAAGGCCCCACAGCATGGAAATGTATTTGTGGCTGACTTCAAGAAGTGCTTCCGTTAACCATTAAACAGACTAAGCACGTGCTGAGGGCACCACAAAGTTGGGAAAAGGGAAAAAAGAACTTTATGTAGCCCAAGCTTGGCTTAGTTTGTACAGTATATTGTGTTACCATATGAATAAATTTTTGTATTGCTGCAACCTGCATTGTATATCTGGTCAGACAGGTCAACAATTAAAATGGACTGGGTCAATGTGGAAAGGAGGGGGGGCACCAAGATTGGTCAGTGCTTAGGGCACCAGTGAACCTTAATCCGCCCCTGAGTGCTTCCTTAACTCCTACCCAATAACGTCCCTACTGGGCTTGACATGGGTAAGTGTGAGGTGATGCATACTAGAATAAAGAATCCTAACTTTAAATCTATGTGTTGTCGAAGGCTTTCACAGCCTGAGTTCATTAGTTGCTATAGATTTTCTGGGTTGTGTGGCCGTGGTCTTGGCAGTGTAGAACCTGACGTTTTGCCAGTAACTGTGACTGGCATCCTCAGAGGTATAACACAGAAAGATGACTCTCTGTGTCAAGGTGAGAAGAACATGGTAGGCAGGTAATTTAGATGATTTAGTTCGTCATTGAGTCTGGTTCCGGTACGTAGATGATACTTTATCATTTGGAGACATGGAGAAGTAGAATTGATGGAGTTTTTAGACCACCTCAACAACATTCCACCCCAACATACAATTCACCATGGAAAAAGAAATCGAGGGTAAACTCCCATTTCTAGATATCATGGTCATCCGCAAAACTAACCTTCAATTAGGTCACAATGTCCACAGAAAACCAACTCACACGGACCGTTATTTATACAAAAACACCAATCACCACCCTCGGCAAAAAAGAACTAAATCATCTACATCACGCACTTCAAGCAAATGGCTACTCCAAGAATGAAATCAGAAGAGCGATTAAACCAAAGGTAAAACAAACAACTGAGGAAAAACAGCCTCCCACAGGAAAAGTGTTTTTGCCATATATCAAAGGAATCACTGATCATATGGGGAAATTTATGAAAAAACACAACCTACAAACAGTATTCAGACCCACCGGAAAAATACAACAGATGCTATGATCAGCAAAAGACAGAAGAGACCCCCTAACTTCTGCAGGAGTATACTACGTACCATGCGGTTGTGGACAAGTTTACATCGGGACCACACAGTGTAGCATTCAGACAAGAATAAAAGAACATGAAAGACACTGCAGACTTGGCCAACCTGAAAAATCAGCAGTGGCTGAACATAGCCTAACTCAAACAGGACACAGTATTTTGTTCCAAGACACTGAAAGACTGGACAACACTTCCAATTACTATGTCAGATTACACAGGGAAACCATTGTAATTCATAAAACATTACAAGAAAGAAGAGAGTTTAAAAATAAATAGGGCATGGTTTCCTGTCCTGAAAAACACAAAAGGCTGTACATCTGGCAATAGCACTACAAATAAGATTAGAATCTCAACATCCAATCCACATACAAAAGAAACCTCCTCAGGAAACAGAAAACCTCCTCAGGAAACAATCCATATACAAAAGAACCTTCTCAGGAAAGCTCCTCCATTAGCATGTTCATAACTTGGGGAACTCCTACAAGATAATGACTCAGCCTTACCCCACCTTCTAGAGTAGATATAAATTACCTGCCTACCATGTTCTTCTCACCTTGACACAGAGGGTACTCCATTTTTCTGTGTTATACCTCTGAGGATGCCAGTCACAGTTACTGGCGAAACGTCAGATTCTACAGTGCCAAGACCACGGCCACATGACCTGGAAAATCCACAGCAACTAATTTAAATCTATGCTAATGGGGTCTGAACGGGTGAGGCGGAGACTGAAAGATTTTGGGAGCTGTACTGGAAAGCTTGATCAAAATGTTGATTCAGTGTGTGGCAGCAAACCCCATGCTAGGAATTATTTTGAAAGGAATTGAAACTAAAACAGCCAATACTACAGTATTGCCCTTGTATAAAACTATGGTTCAGCCTCATTTGGAGTACTGTGTACGCTCCTGGATGCTGTATCACAAAAAGCGTATTGTAGAGCTGCAAAAAGTACAAAGGGGAGCAACCAATAAGATTATGGGGCTGGAGCATCTTTCCTATGAGGAAAAGGCTAAAGCGTCTGGGGCTTCTCAGTCTAGAAAAGCTATGGAGAAAGTGGATAGAGTGAGCTTTTTCTCCTTCTCACATAATAGTAGAATTTGGGGACATTTGGGGAAATAGGTTCAGGGCAGACAAAAGGAAATACTTCTTTACTCAACGAGTAATTAAATCGTGGAATTCACTGTCAGTGGAAAGAGTGATGGCCATAAGCATAGGTGGTTTTAAAAGGCATGGAGGAGAGATCCATCAATGGCTACTAGCCATGGTGACTGAAGGGAACCTCTGTCTACAGAAGCAGCAAAGAGTAAACCTCTAAATCCCAGTGCTGGGAGGCGGCTGCAGGGAAGGGGACTTGGACCTGCTTCGTTAAAGAAAGTCTTGTGTCATTTCGCCTTCAGACAAAAGAACTTCACAGAATATTCTTTTTTTACTTTTGATTTTTATTGCAACCCCCAAAGAAAAAGAAATACTTTCTTTAGCCCTTTTCACAGAATATTCTCAATTAACTTCTTGAAGATCAATGATGACTGAACCTGCTGGACCTCTCTGGTGAAGGTAGCAGCATCAGCAGCATCAGAAAAGTCTTGCTGCTTGTGCCAGTCAACAAGATTTCAGGCACTGTCCTGCAGTAGCCTCTGAGCAGACTCCACTGTATGTTCCCCAGGAGGGAGGATCATTTGTGAGGAGACAGTCCCTGATGTTCTCTGTGGAAAGGCTAAGTACCTTTCTCCCAGGAAAGTTTTGCTTGGAGTATGGGAAGCCCCTGCCAGTTGTTATCTGGACTGTGTGCATGACTAAACTGTGAAAATCCTAAATGGTATAGTAGGAATCCCAGCTCCTAAATGAGAGTAGTTTGGATGAGCCCTTTTCCCTTCTGTATCTCTTTAAATTAGGGCTTGTGCAGTTGCTGGCTTGCCTTTGGCAACAGTAGAAGATCCACTTGCAGATTTTCCAGTATCATATCCAGTTTAATTCTATTAAGAATTGGTCTGTAAGCCACTCCCAGTCTCCAAGCTAATGTTGGCATCATAAAGAGCTTCTTCAAGTAAGCAGCTTAGACCAAAGGCTTTTTGACCCATGATTCTCTTGTTTACAGTTGGTTTGTAAATTAATTTTTCACAAGATGGCTTCACCAGGTTTGATGCCACTAAAGAAAGAGGCATATAGGGGGAAAATTTTCAGTGTATGTCTAGTAGACCATTGTGAGTGAATGAATCATCAGCAATTTCGGCTTACTGTGTGTAAATTTAAAGCCGTGGCTGTTGTTCCACATGAGCCTGTGTAGGCTATTTCTGAGATTCTTCTTGTTTTCCTTTTAGTGCTGCAGCCTCAAGTACAGAGCTTGGTGACTTCCTCTCAAGTTCAGCCAGTCACCATCCAGCAGCAGGTACAAACAGTGCAAGCCCAGAGGGTCTTCACACAGGCTGCCAATGGAACCATCCAGACACTAACCCCAGCCACAGTCCAGACGGTAGCTGCCCCTCAAGTCCAGCAGGTTCCAGTAAGTACTTTTGTGTTGTGGTGTTGGCATCTGAATTTTCTGAGATGTGTGTTGACATCTCTCTCTATTCCAAGTCTGGAAATGAAGTAATAGCTGGAGACAGCCTGGCCACCAGGTGTTGAATTGTCCTAGGTATATAAAGTTGGTAATTCATAGGCCAAAGTCTGGGATTATTGAGTTATGGGGAAATGAATAGCATTCACTGATATCAGAAGAAGGGAATCTGAGAAATCGCCAGTTTTTTCAAATGACTTGATTGGAAATCATTGAGTGATGCTAGCGTTGAGTGATGCTAGCATTGCCATATTTTGGAATATTGACTATCACAGTTTTGAAATGGAGGGGGGAAGTATTAGACAAGGCATTTCTGAAAGCTTTTAGAAGGTGGTAACTGTACCCTGAAAAATGATCTCCTTGACCATGGGGGCTAGAACTTTTCTGCTCTACTAGAAAAAGGTATATAAAGTTGGTAATTCATAGGCCAAAGTCTGGGATTATTGAGTTATGGGGAAATGAATAGCATTCACTGATATCAGAAGAAGGGAATCTGAGAAATCGCCAGTTTTTTCAAATGACTTGATTGGAAATCATTGAGTGATGCTAGCGTTGAGTGATGCTAGCATTGCCATATTTTGGAATATTGACTATCACAGTTTTGAAATGGAGGGGGGAAGTATTAGACAAGGCATTTCTGAAAGCTTTTAGAAGGTGGTAACTGTACCCTGAAAAATGATCTCCTTGACCATGGGGGCTAGAACTTTTCTGCTCTACTAGAAAAAGGTAAGAGATCCGATTGATGCACTGGTGGGTGCCACACCAGGAGACATAGTCTGTTACTAGCTGCACATCTGTGGGCCTGCGGTAGCTAGCATACTTCAGATCTAGCTGCAAAACCAAGCAGGGTGGCTTATAAGCAAGTTCCTTCTGCCTTCGTGTGTGCAGAAAGGAGGCGCATGGGAGCACAGACATTACAGTAGCAGCCATAGGCTTTTATTGCATAGCGGAACTTCATGCACTCAGAACACATCCGCTAAGAAAGAGCTTTCCACTTGCTGAAGCAGGATGCAGCATTTTTCTGTGTTCACTTTCTTTGCTCCATTAAACTTTTCACTGTGTCTTTTTCCAGGTCCTTGTCCAGCCGCAGATCATTAAAACAGACTCACTGGTTTTAACAACATTGAAAGCTGATGGCAGTCCTGTAATGACTGCTGTTCAGAATCCAGCCCTCACAACATTGACTACTCCTATTCAGACAACGGCCCTGCAGGTATTATGGCACTCCTTGTGTTAATCTCCGGATTCTTTCTCTTAATTTAGGTTTGCTTTACACTCGTTTACACAGCATATTTTAAAAGTGAACGTGAGAATTGCAAGAAGGCATAAATCGCTATCAAAATCAGGGATTTTTTTTACAAATAAAAACCTATAGATAGGTGCATATATATTGCTTAATTTTCTTCAGTGTGACTCACTAGGAAACATGTATCATTAGAGTGAGAAGAGAGAAGCTAAGCGGTTTGCACATTTGTTACAAAGTAGGTCCCGTGACTTCAGCAGATTGTCTGCATGCTGAGTTGTTCCATCAAGGCTAACTAGGCAACTTTTTCTGTCTTGGCTGTCTGGAGAGCCAAAGCCCTGTGTATCTTTCTTAAACCCTTGCAAGACAGAGATGTGACCCTGTGATATTATCTTATTTTATCCCTGTGGATCAAAGTGTACTTAAAATCTAAAGGTGGCAAAAAAAAAAAGAAGACTTCTGTACAGCTTAAATATCCAGTGGATTCAGGCAAATATAGTGTAGGGGAAGGTAACTTTTAGGCCCAAGTTCCACAATAACTTGCATTGTCTACTTGTGATGATGTTAGCGTGCTGACAAATAAAAGGGCTGTGTGTTTAAGGAAGGGAGTGGGTTGTACTTAACCAGACCACAGAAGGAGCAAGCTGAGCATCCATTATGGTGCCAGCATCTTGGCTTCACCCCAGTCTCTTGAATGGAAACGGTTAATTGCATTGGAAGGATAGGCTGTATGGAAATTATCATAATTTTGGTTTCATGCAGTAGAAGATGGTACATTTGATGCTGTAGAAACACTTGGGTTGTTCTTATATTTGTTCCCTTTTCCAGCTTCAATAAATATTTTATTTCAGGATGAAAGAGAAAGAAAGAAGATGTAAATACCATTACAAAGGTTTCTTTGAGCCAGGAAAAGCCTTGCTCTCTTGTTCCTTTTAAACCTGAAGCAACAACCATTAATCTTGAACATATCAATCCTGGAAACAAAAGCCTCTGTCCGTCCTCCTTAATACCTATTGGTGAGGGCCAGAGCAACTCAAGTATCAGCCATTTTTACAGTATAATTACTCCATGAAAATGTCTAATAATGATCCTTAGGAAATCCTTAGGAATACATGAAGTTGCCTTTTACTTAATTGGACCATTGTTTTGTCTAGCTCAGGACTGTGTACTCTGACTGGCAGTGGTTCTCTAAGGCCCAAGGGTATTGCCCTGCTTTGCATCCTGATCCTTTAACAGGAGATGCCAAGGATTGATTCTGGGACCTTGTGGGTGCAAAGCAGGTGCTCTGCTACTAAATTAAGGATACTTACATTACTAAGAGTGATTGTACAATAAGTCCTTTTATTTGAGGATGTAATACATTATTTTAATCTCTTGATTGGCTTGGATTCTTTCTTTTTAAAATAATATGTTATTAAATTTTTCAGAAAATAAACAAATTTTTAGAAATGTAACAAACTCGTATAATAACATGTAAAACTTTTAAACTTATGACCAGATCCTTGTACAATTCTTAGTATTACCAAAATAAGGTAGCTTTGTCAAATAGTTTATTTCTTAACAGATAATCAAGGTAGCTATACTAGTCATCAATAACTACTATACTATATTATAAAACCCAGTCTTTGCGTATATAGGAATAATATTGAGATTGCTGAGATGTATTTATTTGCCCTAGGATATATTCCAAATGCTCCAAAATTGGATGCCATCTCCCATAAAATGTATTAATTAACTTTGTAGATTCATAAGAGGAAATCTTATCTGTTATTTTGTCCATCAGAAGATGGTTCCAAATATTGGAGAACCAAGAGCCCATACTCAGGGGGCGCATATCTTTCCAATGTAGGGCAAGCATTGACTTAGCCGCTGACAATAAAAGGGTGAGCAGTTCTTTACTGTACTGTGGTATTGGTATGTCTTTCCAACAATTTAAAAGTATAATTTCAGGTTTCATAGGGATCTTGTGTCCTGTTAAACTTTCGATTTCTAACAACACCTTTTGCCAAAATGTCTGTACCAATGGGCACTCCCACCAACAGTGAATATATGAACAAACTTTCCCACAATTTTTCCAGCATAAAGGAGACTTTGAGGAATTTATTTTGTGCAATTTCAATGGGGTAAGATACCACCTGGTTAAAATTTTATAGTTTGGATTCTTTTGAGGTTACTTTGAGCTTTGAATGATAAAATTAATCTCTACAGTGATCATTGCTGTTGTGTTTTTAGACCTTAGTTGGTAGCAATGGGACCATTTTGACTACCATGCCCATGATGATGGGAGGGCAAGAGAAGATGCCCATCAAGCAAGTGCCTGGTGGTGCCAAGCAACCAGAACCACCAAAGGAAGGCGAGAGACGAACAACCCATAACATTATTGAGAAGCGGTATCGATCCTCCATCAATGACAAGATTATTGAACTGAAGGATCTAGTCATGGGAACAGATGCCAAGGTAAGAGTTGCCTAATGATTTAGTGGCAGGAAGACAGCTGTAATTTCATGCCCACTCTTTTAGTTGGCAACCTCATTGGTAGGCAAATAATTCTAGCTCATCAGGTATTCCTAGGAGGGAAACAGGATTTTGGTGTCCTGCAATGCATGACGAACACCTTTGAAATTAATTTTGGGGGCATTTTCCTCACGTGTAGGAGAGTCTTTGCTATCTTGCTATATTAGTGTTTGTTGATGATGTGCTTTCTTACATGCATGTTAATTCTTGGCAGATGCACAAGTCTGGGGTACTGAGGAAGGCCATAGACTACATTAAATACCTACAACAAGTCAACCACAAGCTGCGACAGGAGAACATGGTCTTGAAATTGGCTAACCAGAAAAACAGTAAGTGCTTGGGACAGGCATTGACCGGATGGTTCTTTATGTGCTTTTTATTTATTTATTTTATTTATTTAGGCATTTTTACCCCGCCCTCCCCGCAAGCGGGGTCTCTTTGTGCTTTTTAATGTAATTTATTAACTGGTTTTTCTGTTAGCAAATGTAGAACTGAGGAGAGGAGAGCATAAAAAGGCTTGAATGGTAAGCAGCACTGTGACTCCAAATAGTTAAACTTGGCAATCTGTGTTCTTTACAGAGCTATTGAAGGGTTTTGACCTAAGCAGTCTGGTGGATAACGATGTGGACCTGAAGATAGATGACTTCAACCAAAATGCTCTGCTGATGTCTCCTCCAGCCTCTGATTCAGGGTCACAAGCAGGATTTTCTCCTTATTCAATTGATTCAGAGCCAGGAAGCCCATTGCTGGATGATGCAAAGGTAGTTAATATTCCTAAAGTAGCCTGTACTGAAAAGTGGATATAGCGGTTGCTAGTCACTTGAGGTTAGAAATTTGTGTGGTGGAGTGAATGCTAGCTGAGGACACCTATTTGTGTATCTGGCATTAAAATGCTATAGTGGACTGCTCTTGTAAGAAAGTGTAAAAGCCAGAGATAAAATCAGTTCACAACATTGTCACAGCCTCCAGGCTTAGGCTCTTGTTCTGCTAAGTCCTGTACCAAGATGTAATAAAAAACCCCATGTCCCACAGCCATTTTAATTTTAAAAGACCAGAGGGTGAGCTTACTTGACCATCTCTTTCCTGCCCCCATTTTCTCTTGTACAAGAAGAGAACGAAGAATCATTATTTGTGCAATGTAGAGGCTTAATTCAGGTTTAGTAGTACCCGTAGCTCACACGCTGGCTGGTTATCACTCAGGACGATAGTGATGACATCAGAGGCTAACATCAGGTAGGAAATTAAATGTGGGTAGTAATATTGTTAAATTATGACAAGTTCACCATGTAGTGGAATAGAAATGCTTACGTTGCGAAATTTAACACTGCTGTTCTATATTGTGTTACCTCCCTTTTACCACTGGGGATGCATCTGTAAAATTAAACTACAGAAGCACTGCAGGAATTTTTTTTACCCTATTTTGAATTCATTATTTAAATTCATAGTAGGTCTGGGAATAATTTATTTACACAGTTTCTAACTTGCCTTTAAACTACAATAGCACTTAAGGTAGCTTACAAGTGAAAGGTTTAAAGACCAATAATACAAACATTTAAAAAACTAAAAATAGCGCTAAGATGCACACAGTGGAAAGTGTAGAACAAATGTAGAGTCCAGTGGCACCTTTAAGACCAGCAAAGTTTTGTTCAAGGTATGAGCTTTCATGTGCATGCACACTTATCACCTGAAAGCTCATACCTTGAATAAATCTTTGTTGGTCTTAAAGGTGCCATTGGACTCTACATTTGTTCTACTGCTTCAGACCAACACAGCTGACCAACTGGATCTAATAGCCATAGTATAACAGCAGTCAACCTTAAAAACCAGTAATCAACAATAAAAATCAGAAAAAGCAAGGGGACAAACTTCATATCAGGCGATCATTTCCAGTCAACCTCAAAATATCATCTTGAGTAAAAGTTTTAACAGATCTCCAAAAGCAAGGGGTGATGCAGATGCTTTTTCTAGAGCTGGAAATCCCAAAGTCTGAGGCCTACAGCCCACCATCCCACCTCAGTTAATGTGGGCCTGCAGAGTAGAGCAGTGGCGATTAGGCAGGCTTGCATTATCTTCACTGCTCTTACGACATGCTTCAGACCTTTTTCTCAAACGTTTCTCTGTCCCTGTCCCTCACTCTTAATGATTTAGGTTAAAGATGAACCGGACTCTCCGCCTGTTGCCCTTGGAATGGTTGACCGATCACGGATGCTGCTTTGTGCTCTCACATTCCTCTGCCTGTCCTTCAACCCACTAACATCTCTCCTAGAAGGCCAAAGGACAGCTGATTCTGACAGTCCTGTACATCATGGCTCTGGGAGGAGCATGCTGACAATAGGTTCAGGTAATGTCAGAAGTATGCTGATGTATTTGCCTGGATTTCCGTGTTGCTTGCTTGGAGTGTTTTGTGTCCTTTAGGAATTAAACACAACAGTGGAAAGTGACAATCTTCTTCGTGGTCTCTGTGCATCACACCTCTGGAATATAGTGCGCCTGTGTCGACTCTGATTGGTACAATGGAAAGTAAAAGGAATTTTCGTGCCTTCTCCCTGGTCACGTGCCAGGCTCCACTGCGCATGACCAAGGGAGGGGCATGACAATCCCACCAGTTCTCTTCTGACTGCCGCGTTGGTAGGACTCTCTCCGCTTCGGTCGGTAAAACTATGCTTTTTTGGGCCTTTTGGCCTTGTTTCATTCAAGGGAGTGGTGGCGCAGGTGATAAAACACCTGCTTTAACAACCAGGAGCAGCCATTGCGGCTGTTCAAATACCACCGTGGCCGGAGTGAGCTCCCGACCCTTGTCCCAGCTCCTGCCAACCCAGCGGCTCGAAAGCAATTAAACACCAACAATGCGAGTAGACAAATGGGTACCTACACTTAGAAGGGTAGGGGGCACCCACCTCTGATGAGGACGTGTGGTGGCGACGCGGACGGCATGGATGGCGGCGCGGTGTCGGCGGCGGCAAGTGCTGGCGGAGATGGAGCAATCCCTGGTGGCCAGAAGGGAAAAACATCGGGCAACGGCGACGGCGTGTGACGCAGGCACGGCGGTGCCTGATGGATGGAGCCGGGGCGGGAAGCGCACACGAGCCGTGTGCCTGCGCGATCCTGCCGGTGGTTGCCGTGGAAACATCAGAGGCCTTGAAGGACGCCATGCAGAGCCAGCAACCAGGAAGACCTAGAGGACACCGTGTCGATCCAGCCGCCAGGAAAGAGATTGAGCTAGACACCAAGCCGGGCCAGCAGCCAGAAGAAACCATCAAAGATCCCACCACCAAGGGTGCTGGTAGGCAGTCCCACCCCCAACATTAGATGTGGGCCAAGTTAGGAGTACAGTTCTTAGAACGCAAAATATGTGAACCGCCCAGAGGACCCCCCCCCCCGGGGGTTAGGGGGGGATATCAAGTCTAAAGTTAAAAAAAAAAAAAAAAAAAAGTTTAGTTAGGAAAGTTTTTCAGTTAGATAGTACTTTGTTGGACTTTATTTCTACTATCCCTTCCCCCGGCCTATGGCCGTTCAGTGGGGTTTCTTTAAACGGTGCTTGGAATGCAGCAGTAAGGTCACCCCCCCAGATGGACATTCTCTTTGCCTTTTATACTTGGGGGAATTGCACCGAGTTGCCTCTTGCGCCCATTGTTCCAAGTTCTCCAAGCAGACCAGGAAAAATAGGGCTGCTAGACTGCAACTGGCACTGATGGAAGCCGCACTCTCTCCAGTGGCACCATCATCTCAGGAGACGTCTGGACATGCATCGATGTTGACGGCAGCGTAGGGAGCGACAATCGCCATGTCTTTAACATCGACCTCCATCGATGCCGTAAAATCGGTGCTGAAACACCTGATTCAGGCACAACAGTCCGAAGCCCATACTCCTCCTAAAAGACATAAGGAGGGCAAGGACATTCGGCTTATCAAGCTTAAAAAGCACAAGAAAGGCTCTCGCGTAGCCGCTTCGCTTGATTCAACAAGCCGAGGGCAGCCACAAAGTGCACTTCGGTCACCTTCGCTACGCCCCATCCAGTCCCTTGACTCTGACCAGGAGCTGGACTTGACTCAGGTTCCTTGATCACCCGATGTCGAGAACCTGCAACGAGATCGAAGGACACATAATGTCGTCCCTTCACCTCCATTCATCCCCGATGAGCAAGATAGATCTCCGACGCCGATTCCGCCCACGTCATGGGATCAGCGCCAATGGCAATATTTATATGGAGCTTTCCCCTTTTCAGGGTCGATGCCATGGCTCCCTTGTTCATCCATGGAGTGGGATCGCCAGTCTTCCTCGTCCAGAATTTCTCGGTACCGTGATCCCTACCCGGCACCAGAATTCATTAAACCTTCCCAATCAAGACCGATAACTAAAGATCCAGGTCTTCAGCCATCGGCACTTAAACTCCTATAGATCAGTCGGAACTTAGGCCTTCGATGCCGATCCTCCAAACGTCGTTCTCCGAACCCTCAAACCCATCCAGCTCCCCCAGCTCTTACCTGGATGAGGACAGTCCCCATCCACCGATAGAAGCATCCCCGCAGCAACAAGTCGAGGTTGAGCTCCCTATTTCACCGTCGGAGGACGTTAAACCCTATGGGGATTTTATTAAAAGTATGGCTCATACACTAGCTTTGCCTACCATCCAGCCTCTACCGACCGTCACGGACTCAGTCTTCGATATAGTACAAATGAACACTTCGACAGCAGTTGCCCTTCCCATGACGTCGGTACTTTTGCAAACAGCAAAAGCCCCCTGGGCTCATCCTTCCTCGATATCAATCTCCAACAAGAGGTTGGATCATCTGTATAAGATTCAAGAATCTGGGGCAGAATTCCTTTTCATTCATCCAAAGCCTAATTCATTAGTGGTTACGTCCTCAACCAAGGGCAAGAGTACTCATTCTACACCTCCGGATAAAGAGGGACGGAAAATTGACTCTTTAGGCAGAAAAGTTTATACTGCCAGAGCTCTGGGTATCAAACCCTCCAATTATGCAGCCTGCATGGGCATTATCAGTATTCCCTCTGGGAACAAATGTCAGAATTTATTTCATCCCTCCGATCAACTTAACGTATCCAAGCACTCACTGGATACAGCAGCAAAGACTCTCACTTCTGCAGTCGCCTTATGCAGATACGCATGGTTACGTTCCTCCGCCTTACAGCCAGAAACTAAGGCCACTGTAGAGGACCTTCCATTTGAAAGTGATGGACTTTTTAGCTCCACCACGGATGCGGTACTTCAGGAGCTTGACAAAAGTATCAAGGCTTCTCACAGTTTAGGGGTTGCACCTCCTACTAAACCGCATAAAGGGAAAACATGGTCGAAACAATGGTCAAGTAGACCATCGTCTAAATCCTCTTCCGAGCCACATTGGCAAAGGTCCCCAAGTCGTCCACCCCGTTCCTACGGTGGAAAACCCAAGTTTTTGTCTACCTCTCTATCTAGACCCAAAACTGCTAAGAACACTAAACAGAGTCTTTGACTCGCACCTCCTCTCCCAACTCCTTACATGCTTATCTCCTTACCTGTCGATCTGGGAATCCATTACGACAGACCAGTGGGTCCTCTCAATAATAAAAATGGGATACCTAATAGAGTTTTCCCAAATTCCACCTCCCACGTCGTTGTCACACCACCTTCTGCAGTCCTCCTAGAAGAGGTTCAAACTCTCCTAAGCAAGGCTGCCATAGAGCCGGTACCATCAGCACAGCACGTAATGGGCTTCTACTCCCGTTACTTTATGGTACCGAAAAGGGATGGAGGCCCCCGACCCATTCTGGACCTCAGGAACCTGAACTCTTTCATCATACATAAGAAGTTCAGAATGACAACGCTACAGGCCATCCTTCCGCTCCTCAATCCAGGGAGGTGGATGGTTATGTTGGACCTCAAGGATGCTTACTTCCACGTTTTTATCCACCCTACCCACCACCGTTTCCTTCGATTTGAGGTAGGCAACTGGCATTTCCAATTCAAAGCCCTCCAGTTCGGATTATCCACGGCCCCTCGGGTCTTCACAAAGGTTATGGTGGCACACCTCCGTCTAAGGGGCGTGCAGATATTTCCCTATATAGACGATTGGTTGTTGGTAGCAGATTCAGAAGCATCCCTGCTCACGAATGTAAACCTAACATTGACAGTCCTGATGTCCTTAGGCATCCAGGTAAATCTAAAAAAGTCAATGCTACTCCCCACCAAAAGAGTGCAGTTTATAGGAGCTATCCTAGACTCTGTCGTTTGCAAGGTTTTTCTCCTCAGAGAGCAAGGGACATTGTCGATCTAGTGACTCTATTCCGGAAGTCTGGACATGCTACGGCAAAGCGAATCCAGCAGCTGTTGGTTCTGATGGCTGCCACCATCAACGTCATTGTTTTTGCCAGACTGCACATGAGACCTCTGCAGCTGTGGTTCGTACGCAGGTTTCGCCCACAGAGTCATTTTCAATTTCTTTGTCTTGTCTTCCCACCATCCGTTTTGGGCTCTCAGCTTTGGTGGACAGAACCTGTGACTCTCCTAGCAGGAGCCCCATTCCATCCACCCATGTCAACACTCATGCTGACTACAGATGCGTCCCTCTGGGGATGGGGCACGCATCTCAAAGGTCTTTGTGTGAGGGCTCGTTGGGAGTCCCACGTAGCACACAATCATATAAATTTCCTGGAACTCCTGGCAGTGCTGTACGCACTCAGGTCTTTCCGACACCTAGTGATCGAGCAAGTGGTTACAGTTCTGACAGACAACACCACAGCCCTGTGTTATATCAACAGACAGGGAGGTACGATCTCCCGGGGGCTATGTCGCCTAGCCATAGAACTATGGGTCGAGTGTCAATCATGGAACACGTTCCTAAGGGCCACTCATCTGCCAGGAACACTGAACGTCCAAGCAGACTTCTTGAGCAGAGGAGAGGCTGCGGAGCATGAGTGGGAGCTCAACTGGATTTATCTTCTCCCAATCTTTCGCCTTTGGGGCCATCCAGAGGTGGACGTGTTTGCAACATGCAGCAACAGAAAATGTCGTCTGTTCTGCTCCAGAGCGGGGATAGATCCCCTATCTCTGGGAGACGATCTTCTAGCCCCGTGGTCATGTCTTCATGTGTTCCTTTTTCCTCCGATTCCTCTAATACCCAGGGTGCTGGTCAAGTTGATGCAGGAAAAAAGCACGCTGTCTCTTAGTGACACCGTGGTGGCCCCACAACATTGGTTCTCCACTCTGCTCCACCTATCCAAGGGCTCCTTCGTTCACCTTCCTCCAGCCGCAGATCTCCTTCTCGTACAGAAGGGCCGGATTCTGCATCACGATGTGAAGCGTCTCAAGCTCACGATCTGGAGGATCCTTTTCGATTGGTCAGAGACAGGATAGATCACGTCCTATTGAACTGTCGCAGACCGTCTACCTGAGTTTCTTACGCTGGGAAGTGGAAGAAATTCTTGTCTTACCTTACCTTGTTAGGATTGCCACCACCACTATCTGACCTGATGGCAATCTTTGGGTTCTTATTGTCTCGTGTAGACCTAGGACTCAGTTGTGCCTCGCTGAAGGTCTATTTAGCTGCAATTTCGGCCAGTCACCCTATGATTGACGGTCACTCCGTCTTCTCTCACCCCCAGACCAAGAAGTTTCTTAAAGGTCTGACTCACCTTTTCCCCTCGTCACGTGGACCCCCATCAGTGTGGGATCTACCCATGGTGCTTGCAAGGCTCATGGACAAACCATTTGAACCGATGGCTACTTGTAGTCTACAGCTTTTGTCGTGGAAGACAGCCTTTTTAGTCGCGGTCACCTCCACTAGGAGGATGGGCGAGTTATCGACACTCCAGTGTGACCCACCTTATTTGAGTTTTTGTCATAATGGGGTCACGTTGGCTCCAGATGTTTCTTTCCTGCCGAAAGTTGTTTCTGAGTTTCACCTACAAGCGGACATTGTTCTTCCAGTGTTCTTTCCGTCTCCTTCTCCCTCAACGGAGGAAGAACGCCATTTTCATTTGTTCGATGTCAAAAGAGCTTTACTCTTTTACCTAAATCGAGCACGGCCTTTTCGGAAATCTCCAGCCTTGTTTGTCTCTCATGCTCCACCCTCTCAAGGGAAGAAGCTGTCGCCCCAACGTCTATCCAAGTGGATTGTGGAGACTATTAAGTTGTGCTATATGCTAACCAAGAAGTCGCTCCCGGGTCTGCTACGGGCACACTCTACCCGGGCAGTGGCAGCATCCACAGCTTTCCTGCGAGGTGCGTCGTTGGAAGATATCTGCAACGCAGCTACTTGGGCCACGCCTCACACGCTTGTGAGGCACTTTGCCCTCTTTCGTCTTCATCAGCGTTCAATTGTGGGATGAGCGGTGTTGCAGGCAGTGCAGATTTAGGACCTCAGCTCCCTCTTCCAGGTAGTTGGGCATTGCTTTTCAGTCTCCCAGAGGTGTGATGCACAGAGACCACGAAGAAGATAAACAGGTTGCTTACCTGTAACTGAGGATCTTCGAGTGGTCATCTGTGCATTCACACCACCCGCCCTCCTTCCCTTCTGCTTTTGGTCCTTCTTTGCTTTCTTTGGAGACTGAGGGCAGTGGTCAGAAGGAACTGGCGGGATTGTCCCCCCCCCCCGGTCATGTGCAGTGGAGCCCGGCACATGACCGAGGAGCGGGTGCAAAAATTCCTTTTGCTTTCCATTGTACCGATTGGGGTCGGTGCAGGCGCACTATATCCCAGAGGTGTGAATGCACAGATGACCACTCGAAGTTCCTCAGTTACAGGTAAGCAACCTGTTTTTTTGAGTAACCGTGAAAGAAACACTGGGGTGGCACGCACAACAAATGTATATTTTACAATGGGGTGTTGAGAAGGTGGTTTTTATTCTGCATTCCCCAGTAATGAGATCTTTGTCATGAGCCTTTTAATTTGTTGTGAGCTTTATTAAAGTGTTCTTTTTAAATCTATTTCTTTTAATACTTCTGCAGTTCAGAGAAGCTAAAAAAATGGAGTTCCTAAAAGATTAACTTGGCTTTACAGTGAGTTAATTTTAGTGGATCTTCAGCAGTCTGAGCAAAAAAATCTTCCTCTGAGGACAGCCATCATAGTTCCATAGTACGAGGGCAACATCCATATCATAATTCTCACTTAATTGTGTGCAGGCTTAATGTTGCCTAGCCTCGTATGTTTATTGCCTTCTAAATGAGCATACTGCATATGTTTGTTGTTCTTCCTGAAGATGCAGAGAAAAACACTCAAATTTCAAACTCATCAACCAGACCAGAATAAGAAGAGAAATCCACAATAATGATTTGAACAATTGTGGTCCCTTTTGGCTTAAAAGAGAGGTGATGTAAGGGGGATGGGGGAGGGTTGCTAGTGGCCAGCCACTTGTTTGCTCTAAGTGGTGATTTTGGGGTTGTCTTCTTCCCCTCCCCTCCATCTTCTTTGGGCATTCAGTGTCATTCATGTAATTTGTTCTCTAATTTGCACTTCTCTTGGCACTTCCACCTCTCCCCTGTGCATTAGGCGCTGGCGGCTGGTTTGGCTGGATGATGCCTACTCTGATTCTGTGGCTTGTCAATGGTGTCATTGTCCTGAGTGTATTCATAAAACTGCTAGTGCACGGAGAGCCAGTGACTCGGCTGCACTCCCGTTCCTCTGTGACCTTTTGGAGACACCGGAAACAGGCGGACCTGGACTTGGCCAAGGTAAGGAAGTCCTGTACTTCAGAAGACAGCATCTTAGTCTCTCCACCGTTAACCTTCTGGAATGATATTAGACACAGCCAAACAAACATGTGCTTGAGCACCAGTGCCCCAGACTGGCCAGTAGGCTCCTGGAGCTGCCATGCAGTGGTACCATACCCTAGCTACCAGAAAAGGTAAGTCAAACAAAGTAGAGGGCCAACAATAAAAATTTAATGTATATAATATAGAAAAATACATGTATTTATTAGCAAATAATTAAAAAACAAATAAGGGCGCAATCACACCTCATGTAAAAATACCAAAATCTTACACACAAGGGCCAATGGACTTGACCTGACACGTTTAGGCCTGTATAGGCCTTCTTCAGAGGTCAAACACAATGAGGAACAAATTGGCTTATATCATAATACAGTACAATCATACAACTATGCAACATGGATACAAGATGGATCAGAAAAGAATTGCTGTAAAAAAATTAAAAGTGTGAAATTAAATACATATAATAAAACGAATACATAAATAATACCTACATTCTACTAAAAAATATATTGACTTACTTCCAAAGTGAAACCACTAGGCACAGAATAAAAGTATAAATGAGGCCTCCAAAGATGCAATCACATGCCAAATGATATTTCACTGATGATAATCTAGAAACGAAAAAATGTATAAAGCAATGCAATCTACAATATTGAAACTTAATTCAAAAAGTAATTAATAAATAAAATTATTTTGTTACTTCTGGTCCAGAAAATGCCTTCCATTGATTGTTTAGCCAAAGCATCCTCAGTGAAATTGTCCCTTTAGCAAAGAGCAGTGCTGATAGACTAAAGTGCTGGAGCTTTATACCAGGTGAAAGATGATGCAATCCTTGTGGAATGCCTTGAAATAGTCACGTGATTGCACATCCCACATACAGCATAACATTTGAAACTACAAAACATTTAAAACTACAAAACAATACAAATTCCAGATTAGATGTTAAACTGTCAAAAATCATACCACACACCAATGCACCTGTTCATTTAGATAGCTAAGCTGAAAAAGTATTGTATTAGATCATTTTTTAACTGTAACTCAAAGGGTCTTATCTATGACATCATCTGTAAATGTGAAAAAATGTACATAAGTTGCACTTCAAGGCCCATAAAGATTAGGATCACAGAACACAGAAGTTGCATCAGATGAAGAAGAAATAACGCTCCCCTCACCAATCACTTTTTTACAGCTGGACGCAGTGATAGAGACTTCTCTTTCTTCACTCTGGAGTATGTTTGACCTTGCAACAATCTGCAGATGACTCAGCACTTGAAAACCAGAGAATTGTTTTGGATCCATGCCCTTAAAACTTTAACCCCAGATGGTCTAAATGTCCATGTGATAGGGATCAGTTCACCCAGAGAAAATGGCAGCTTTGGAAGATGGGCTCTATGGCATTATACCCCAAGTCCCTCCCCTACCCAAGTCCCACCCCATTCAGGCTCCACCCCAACATCCCTGGGTATTTCCTAACCTGGAGCTGGCAACCCTATCTACCAGTGAGCCCCAGCCCCTTTGATTCACACTGGAAAGAAATTACTCTGGGTGAGGAGATTGTCTTAACTTGATGAAAAAGGTATCTCAGTTGAACCTTCAACTTTCCTGGTTATTTTCCTCTCTAGGGAGACTTTGCTGCCGCTGCGTCCAATTTGCAGATATGCCTGTCAGCCCTGGGCCGAGCACTACCTGCCTCTCGTTTGGATTTGGCCTGTGGCCTGTCCTGGAACGTGATCCGATACAGTCTCCAAAAGCTGGGATTGGTGCGGTGGTTGCTGAAAAGAACATCACGGCAGAGGCGAACAACAGAGGCTCCTGTGGGTTTTGAGGATGAAGCCAAGACAAGTGCACGTGATGCGGCTCTAGCGTATCATAAGCTCCATCAGCTCCATATAACCGGTAAGGGAGGATGGTGGGGGCTTCTGGTATTGTCACCTTAGATGGCCTATTTACTTTCTGTTCCGCTGATATCTTAAAGTCCTGAAACCTGCAGGATGCTCTTCTGTCTAGTTTGATGATACATTTGGTGAAATGGGGCTTAATTTCCCACCAGGTCTGGATGAGAGTGCCTGGTATACAGCTCTTGGAGACCTCTTGGCATAATAAGTTCAAAAACTGGTTTGTGGTTCTAAATGCAGGTTCTACATAGGAAGGCATTGTGATGCCTTCCTCTGCATGAATTGCACAGCAAGAGCCAGGGCATGATACAAGGAGGTGATAAAGCCTGATAAAGGAGATGACTCATTTTCCCCCCTTCCTTGTTCTTCTGATACAGGTAAGCTTCCATGCAGCTCAGCCTACTCAGGATTGCACATGGCACTATGTGCTGTTAATCTGGCGGAATGTGCTGAGGAGAAGATTCCACCAAGCACATTGGCAGAGATTCACCTGACTGCTGCAGTTGGCCTGAAGACCCGCTGTGGCGGCAAGCTGGGCTTTTTGGCGGTGAGTTAATTTCCTAGCGCATCCTAGCAGAATTGGAATAGAAGAAATGTTGTTCAGTCACACTGTCGAGTCCGACTCTTCGCGACCCCATGGACCACATCACACCAGGCCCTCCTGTCCTCCGCCATCCCCCAGAGTGTGCTCAACTTCATGTTCGTTGCATCAATAACTCTGTCTAACCATCTCATCCTTTGCTGTCCCCTTCTTCTTTTACCTTCAATCTTTCCCAGCATCAGGGTCTTTTCCAATGAGTGTATTTCTCCAAAGGAAGAAATACTGTGATGTATTTAAACTGAGTTTTTGGTACTGCATGTAAATAGAAGTGCCTCTTGACATGGTGATTAGTTTTATCTGTGATTACAGTTGCTTCTGAATTACCCACTTAAATGACTTTCCACAGCAGCATTCTTATCATGGCTGTTGCTTTCTTCCCAGAGTTATTTCCTAAGTCAGGCTCAGAGCTTGTGCAGTTCCGAGCGCAGTGCCATCCCTGACTCCCTGCGCTGGCTGTGTCATCCATTAGGACAAAAGTTTTTTGTAGAGCGGAGCTGGACAGTGAAAGCTGCTGCCAAGGAGAGCCTGTACTGTGCACAGAGGAATTCAGGTGAGATCCAGAGTGGGATCAATCATGATCAATCAGTCTTTATTAAAACGGTCGTAGACCAGCACAAGTTACAGTTTGCATAGATCACAATAAAGTATAGGTATGATACAGTGGGTAAACAGTAATTAAAATAAGCTAATGAGTACAGTTACTATTAAAATTCTTCAATATGCAGAGTGGGTTTGTGAATGCATCATCCTTGATCTTCTCTGTAAAGATCTTTCATATTTATTATGCAGCCCTGCTGCCTGGGTGCACATTCTCTGCTGTCAACTTTATATACATTCTTGCTTGAAAACTGTTGAAACTAAGAACTAGTGTAGTGTTGTACCAATAAGCTTTGATGGCATTGCAAAGGGCCATTTGCCTTATGATTTACATCCTTTGAGAAGAAAGAGAACTATCTTGAAAGAATACAACATTTGAAACTACCTGATGGGAGTTTCTCTCAGGCATGTGGTTTTATCTTTAGGTCTGCTTCCTTCTGCTGTTCTCTCTATTGTGGGGGATTGTGGGGAAAAAGCACGCTGATTGTTCTGTCATCTGCAGCTGATCCCATTGCACAGGTGCACCAAGCATTTTGTGAGAACCTGCTGGAGAGAGCTGTTGAATCCCTTGTGAAACCGCCTGTCCCCAGAGGGATTACAGGGCCAGATGATGAAGAGCCCTGGTAAGCCACTTTCTTATCTTACTGGCACTTTTCTCAGGAATTAGCTGTAGATTCTGGATAATAATTTTTGTCTACTCTGCTGGTTTCTGTGCACCCAGCATTGAAGGAAAGATTGTAGTTAGGGATGGGCACAAATGGGAAAATGCAGTTTGGTTCATGTTGTGCCCAGGTCACGAACCAAGAACTGTCACAAACTTGTAGGGGCTAAACGAATCAGTTCATGACTCAGTAGCCCCCTAGTGTGCTAGACACACCAAACTTTCAGGGGATCACTGGCTGACCCTCCTCTACCTGCCCTCCAGGTTTAGTGACAATTGGATCTGTGGGGTGTGAACTATGTCTCCCCCCCCAATAAGGTGCCCTCATTTCTGGGGAAATGGCAGGCTGTCATTTTGACAGGCACAGATTCAGGAGGGCATAGAATGGATCCTGTGCAAACTAGAGACATCAAAGACACAGGTGATCTCCCCTGGATGCTCCTCTACATGTCCCCCAAGTTCCACCCCCCTGTTGTGTTGAAGCTTGGTAAACATTTAGATCGAGCAGAGGCAGTCTCTCTGGAAATTGTTCATGAACTGTGATGAACAGCTTGAAAGTCTGTGGAAAATTCATGCTGGTTTACCTGCCATGAACTTCACTTTGTGAACCATGAACCGGCCAAAGTTCATCACGGAATTTTAGTTTGTGAGCCAGTTCGTGCCCATCCCTAATTATAGTATAGATTCCACTTTTTCAGGGAGGAGCAGCATGTTGTGGAAAACCCTGCATTTGATGCCATTTGTGGCATGACAGAGGCACTGTGGTTAAACCAGTCTGCAGTATTGCTGGGATGTGTGCCAGAGCAGCTTCCCTATGCAATCTATAATTGACTTGCAGATAATGTTCTAAGCAGGTACTACCTGAAGTATTATGGGCTTGTATCCATTACCAGGATCTTTGTGAGCAGCAAGGTCCATTGGTTAATTATTTCTTTGTTTGAGGAAAGGGGAGATAGAGAAGTATTAGTGTGATGCCGGAACTTTAATGTGACAGTCATGACTGTTTTAAAAGGTCTGAAAGCAAAGAGGGCTTGCTGCAAACTGGTATGCCCTGGCCAATGAAATCTTTAGATACGTTACCTGTATTAAACTGTTATATAATGTAGAGTGTGTGGCACTGGATTTACTAGCAAATGTATGTCCTCTGCTTGTGTTTGCAGTGAATTTGCTAATGCTTTGGAATATCTGAAGTTACTTGGCTCCTTCATGGACTCTTTGGGAAGCGGTACACCGCCTTTCACAGGAAATTCTGTATTGAAGTCTGCCCCAGGTAAATGTCTTGTGACCTGTGTCTTGAATCAGCCTTGCCCTTGTGTCTTGGATCAGTCAGTGCTCAATATTTATAAAACAAAAAAAATTCCCCATGATCTTGCTTCTCAGGTTTACAATATGGCACATATTAATATTTCGGCAGGAATTTAAGGTGTGAGGAATGCGTTGTGGTGCCTGCTTGTTTATATATTGCTGTACTACTTGCTAGGTGCTATCAAATCATAGCTGTTCTTGCCTGAAAGAGCTCCCAGGTAATGCTCTTTATGAGTTCTCACGGCAGTTCAGAAATGGAATGAGCAGCTATGATATCCAGTGAGAAGCCTCTTGGGTGTACTGCAGAGGGTCAGTTTTTGTCTTTCGGGTGTCTTGTCATATTCCAGTGTGTGACATTATATTAGTTGTACTTCCTGCATAGTTAGATCTGAGAAACAGTTAGGTGGGGACCTTTAGGGGGGAATATTTAGACCCTTTGGCTAATGGTAGTTCAGTAGGTTTTAATTTCTCCATGGAGACAGGGTGTTCGTCCAAAAAGACTGTCTTTCTGGATAAAATCTTAGAGAATGCTCTAACCATGTTCCACCTAAAGGGGCTTTTCCACATGTTATTTCCTTGCTTGGTTGCCTGCATTGCATGGTTTTTTCTCTCTTTTCTGCATGTGTTTTGCTTCCTCTAGTGGTTGCTTCAGTATCACTGGTTTATTCCCAAGCACTTTGAAAGGGCATGGAAATAAGCAAGAGATACAGCAATGAAATATCAAAGCAACCACCAGAGAGAGCAAAACATGAGTGGAAAAGGAGGGGGGGAAACCCACCACACTACGGGCACACAAGTGATAAAAGAAAGAAAAGCCATGCTGTGGGAGGTGGTAATTGAACTGAGAATTTGATGTGTCTTGTAAATTCTGATTAGGAACTCTGTTCACAAAAATGATGTCTGTCCCTTCTCCACTACTGAAGCAGGATAGAAGAGAGCTGCTTGGCCATGACTCTTCTTCTCACCTTTTTCATCAGCCAGCCAGCCAGCCTGCGCTTCAATAGATGCCTTCCTTTGTTGTTCTGCTCTAGAGGATGATAATTTTCTGATGTGCTCCAAGATAACCTCATAAAAAGGGGTTGTCAGAGTGGCCTCCAGCCCAGCACACCCTGCCATCTTACGTGCAGGCTCTGAGCAGTTTATTGGTTCCCTTCCTCTGCACAATTGCTTTTTCATCCTGTTGACCAGATCCCACACCTCTTCCTTATTGCAATTTGGGGGTCTGAGAGATGAGCAACACCCAGCGGTATTATTATATGGTTGCCTTAGTTAGCTAACCCTCCCGCCTTTGTCTGGTCTTCCAAATCAATCTCTTGACCTTCCAAAGACTCAAGTCTGAGCAGGGATAGATGTCCAGTGGCCAGATCCTGTCGTGCACATCACTGTGCTTTTTATAAGGGTGTTTGTGTCAGTAAACTTTCTTGTCCTTCCTACTTCTGGAAACTGCTGAATATAGCCAAACAGTTGAAAAAGGCTGCATTTAAGCATGTACATCATCATTGCTCCTTAGATTTTGGCTTAGCTTAGCACAGGGGTGGCTAAACTTGCTTAATGGAAGAGCCACACAGATTAAACATCACGTGTTTGAGAGCCACAAGACATGAACAGATATTACAGACACGTTTTTTATTGGGAAATATGCAAATTTGTCTTTTCTTAACATTAAACGAGACTGCCAAAAATAAAAAAAACCCCGCCCTGAGCCTGTTTACGGGGAGGGCAGTATACAAATCAAATAAATAAAAACAAAAGGGGTAAAACCAGATATTGATAATGATATTTATTTGTTTGCTAATGTTATTTATTTGTCTACGAGAGAGAAAAACAAAGAAAGCAAATAGATGAGGGAGGGGGAAGGAAGGGAGAGAGAGAGAAAGGAAGGAAGGGAGAAAGCGAGAAAAGAGAAAGAAAGGTGGAAAGAAAGCAACTTTAACTTTACATGCATCCTCAGCCCCCCCCCCCCCGCCCCAAAGCCAGCTGGCTTGGCTTGGAGAAGGGATTTAAAGAGGCAAATGCCTTCTCCAAGCTGGCTGGCAGGGTGGGGCTTTGAGAACGCATTTAAATTTAAAGTTGCTTCCTTTCTGTGCTTCTCCCCCACCTCAAGCCTACCCAGGGAGGGGAACACTGCCTGGGGAAGGGAAGACTGATTGGGAAGGCATGCCTCCCCTTCGCTTCCCCAGCCATCCTGCCAGGAGCCACACAATATGTGTGGAAGAGCCGTATGTGACTCCCGAGCCACAGTTTGGCCACCCCTGGCTTAGCATATTGTCTGTGTCTGATGGGCTAACTGCACTTTACAGCAAGTGTGCGTAACTCAGCCCCAATGCTGCTTGCTTCAGTTTTCATTTTTTAAGACAAGTTTTTGGAGGGGGGAAGAATAGTGTTTATCGAAGCCTTTCCCCCTTCATCATTTCCAAACACCCATCTCTTGGGGTATCAGATCCATGTGGCATTTTACAAGGGGGTGCATGGGTTTCTGAGTGGGGCAGTTTGGGGGAGGGGGAATCAATCACTTCCTTTCATGCCTACTTCCTCCCCTGATGCTCCTTTCATTTAAAATGAAGGATATTGGGACTTGTTTACCTGAAACAAATTAGCTGGTCCCTAAGATTGCCTTGCTTTTGTTTTTGTGTTCCTAGGGCCTGATGTGGTCTGCAGGTGGTGGTCATCAGCCATCACTATGATAATCAGCTGGCTCAGGGGTGATGATGCTTCTGTGAGATCACAGTTCACCAATGTGGAGCGCATTCCTAAATGTCTGGAGATGACTGAGTGTGTGGACTTCTTTCTTTGTATTTACTGTTTCGCCTTCCTGGATATGAATGGCAAGACACACAAAAACAGAGTTCCTTGAGCCAAGCACTTATTTGTAACAGGCCATAAAGATGTGGTATAGCTTCATTTGATGCCACTTCCTTCCGTTGGCTCTAAATGCAGTCCTGTCACATGTTTGCAAACTAAGCTGGAATTTTTTCAGTTTTGTATGACCTTAAAGCATCTGGGAACACTCCTTGGAGTGATGGATGCAGAGGTCCTTGTGCTGATTACAGGCTTGCTGATCCATGTTATGAGATCTTGAGAGATGGTTGCCCTTATCTCTGTCATTTTGCACTGAAGTACATTGGTGATTTATGACAGTGCTAAAAACAGCAGAACTTTCTCTTGCCATCCTTTAGTTTATATCATATAGATGCCTTACCCCAGGTTTAGGTGGCATTATGAAGTTTTTGGAGAGAAGGCTGGAGATGATTACTGATGTGGGCTCTTTCAGGGTATTTTCAAGTCTTTGTAGGTGAGAATCCTGATATAATAAAGTAGCGGGAGGTACTGTGTCTTCTTAAAAGCACTGTTGTTCACAGCCAGCGCTTAAAGGTGCTAATCTTTTTCCTGGTTATGCTTCTTCCCTCCTTTCCTCCTAGGAGTGCCCTTGTGAAAGCTGTCTTTCATGTGTGCAAAGCCATGAATGTTTCCTTGTCAAGTAAGGCAGACGGGCAGCAGAGCTCCTTTCATCACAGTGAAAGAGCCAGCACTCATCTTTGGAACAGCCTTAACATGAGCAGTGGAGTCTCAAGCACAGGCCTAAACAATGTAAGAGCCATTTGCTGTCTGGGCTTTATATCTTTGTTCTTACTTTATCCAACATTAGTAGGGAGATGTTTAGTCACCCTGCTGAGTGGGCACAAGGCTCAGGTTTCCTTTGGGAATGCAGCAGCAGCAGCAGCAGCTACCCTTATTTTCCAAAACTGACAGTTGGAGAAGGACAAGATTTCTTCTCTTGCTCCCCTTGCAGGTGGCTGAAATTGTGTTCCCTTTCCTAAAGCAGTGCTTGAGAAGTGCATCCATTTCTGTTGTACTGGCTTTGCTCATCCTTCTTATTCTCACTCTTCAGTTCTGTGTTATCTTGACAATGCCTCCCAAGTGAGTTGTTCCAACACAAGATGCCTTGTCTAGTCTACTGTGAGTGAGAACAATCTCTGCATGTTTACCCTTCATGCCTTAGCATCATAAAATAATGTGAAGCATGGGCTTTCCATGGTCTCTCAGTACGAGATATGAAGTTCACGTCTCTCCTTCATCGTTGCTGGGTGGTAGCTGTAGTGCATTGTAGTTGCATTGCATGTTCTGGAAGTACTCGTGCAATGTTTCCGCAGTGCAATACAGAGGCTCACCTCACTTCTGCAGCACAGATAGGATCTCCTGGAAATGCCTATGTTTAAATGATACAGACTGGAATGTAACAAAGTGATGTACTAGTAAGAACCATTAATTAAAGTTAAAATAGGAAGGAATCAGAAGGCCAATTGTCTTCCAAAGGCCAGGATTTCTTTATCCACCAGCTCATCATGGATTAATTTACAAAATCCAGAGAGCCTTGTGTTGCAGGCAGAGGACGAATAGTTTGTGATCACTCATAGAAGTAAGGCAAAACTGTGTACAGCAGGAGAAAAGCAAAGAAGTCCACTATGGCATCTAACCAGTTTGCTTATTACTTGAAATGAGCCAAGTAAGTTGAGTAAATTTCTTTCTGTGGTTTGACATATATACTTACTTTTATGCCACCAGAGGGCACATGAAGTTCATATTTTGTGGCTGTTAATCTATTATGATGTCTTTTTGTTCTGAGAATGCATTCTCATGATCACAGTTATGTATTCTCTGGCAATCCACCCCTGCTAATGTTTTGCTTTAAAATGCATTTTTGAAGTCACTTGAACATATTAAACTGCTGCTGTTTTGTACTCTGTCAAGGGGACTAAACAGTATTAAAAACAAAGTGGAAATGTATCTCCCACCTTCTCTATTTAATGGGGTTTGTTGATGTTCTCTCATCATTCTTCAATTTCAAATTGATATCAAGTCTCAGAATTATTTCATTTGAGTGAAATGTTCATATGTTCTTAAAGGATAAGTCTAAATTCACAGTTAAGTCACCTGGTAATTAGTTTTTGGCTGGAAAGTTATGCAGTGTTTAATTTATTAGGTAATCTTATTGTATGATAGGTATTCTGGAATTAATTTCAGGGATGAATGGGAAATAAGCTTCAAAGTTACAATCTCTGACTCACTTTGGAAGTTTATTCTTAAGAGAGGATCTGCTTTATCTTATTGTATGAATATTAAATAAAATCACCAAGATGTTTTTTTGGAAGTTTTATACAATTTTATCCACTCATTATTGAGCATCATCTGAATCACTAGTAGAGCTGATTGGTTATCTTAAAGAACATGTTAATAATGACCATTATGAATTTGTTTGGAGTATGCTTACCGCCAGTTAAATTTTTATAGTTAACTAAATGGTGCCTATAAAAAGGTACCATAACTTAAATTATGTCTTATTAATGTATGGGATGTGGCAGATATGACAAAACTTATATTCAGCTAAGAAATGATGGAAAAATCAACACAGACTTCTTTTAGTATTCTTGGAAAACTAGGGTGGGGATCTCATTCTGATGTTCTCCCCTGGAAAGCTGTTGAATCTGTAAGATTTCCTGGTGCATCTTTAGGTTTCCCAGTTTACGGCTGGTGCCCCTGTCACAGGAGTACTTTCCTTGTATATACAAACTGAGCTGTTTGAACAGAAGAGGGAGTATCCTGATCCATATGCTCTTGGTTAATAACAATCCATCGTCTCCTTTGAGAATTCTCTCTTGATTTTGCCACCTAATTGCCATATTTAGACAAATACCTAAGTGTTCTGTTTAGGTCAAGTCACTGCCTTCTGAGAGAGAAGTACATTTGGTCACAAAACTTTCAACCTGCTAATTTTCAGCAGTCCTGTCCTTAAAATACTTTATAAAAAGTGAATATTTAACTTGTGGGTGACTCAGAGAACTGCATGCTGCTGTTCCCTGCCATTGTGGCAATGGAATATTTCAATACCCGTGTCAGTGAATGGGGTTGTCTCCTTGCAGATGATTCAGCTGCTGTCCTGTGACCTGCTGCTGTCTCTCCGCACCACTCTGTGGCAGAAACAGATGAACACGAGCCAGGCCGTGGGAGAGACCTACCATGCTTCTGCTTCTGAGCTTACTGGGTTCCAGCGTGATCTTGGCAGCCTGCGAAAACTGGCCCATAGTTTTAGGCCTGCTTATCGAAAGGTAAGGCCCATGTCTCTTGTACCGAGTGCGCCTGAGGAAGGAGATAGTGGCTGCAGTTTCTCATGGAAGTAGAAGCTGTAGCTGCCCCTTGAGTTCTGACATTCCATTTTAGGCCGAAGGAACAAATGTCCTAAAGATTGTTTTGCATAGAATCTTTAGCAGTGTGTTTGTAATAGATGTAGAAAAGAGCAAGAGTCCAGTAGCACCTTAAAGACTAACAACATTTGCGGTAGGGTATGAGCTTTTGTGAGTCACTGCTCACTTCTTCAGCTACAGCTAGGATGGTAGTCCATCTGTCCTATATATTGGAAACAGGAGTGATTTTAGATGCTGTCATGACCCCAGAGGGGTCTTTGGGTTCCGCCGCCACCACCCTGGATTTATGGTCCCTTGGGAGGCCCAGGGTACCTTCCCAAGCCCCTTTTCAGCCGAGAACACACAGGCGTGATTGACCCAGGCAGAGAAAATAATTACACAAAAAGGGTTTATTAAAACAACAGTGGGGCAGGGAAAAACAAGACACGGCAAGGTGCTTAAAAAGGGTATAACAGTGTGAAAGGAAAAATAAACATAACCTAACGCAGCTGTCTATTACTCCTAACTGTTTTACTTCCAGGCCACAGCCTGCCTAACACTCACGCTGAGGGATCCTTTCCTCGCAGACCAACCTGTCTTCTCACTGAGATCAGGTTGCAGAGAGACGAAGGACGGAGGGATCTTCCTCTTCCCAGCCCAGCCTATCTTCTCACTAAGATCAGGCCGCAGAGAGAGACGAAAGACACCCTTTTCCCTCAGCGAACAGCTCAGATTCCTTCTCCCACCAGACTATCACAGTCTCCTCTCAGACTGTCTTCCCAACCGACTCCAATGGTCTCTTTAGAATCTTCTCTCTGACTCTCCCAATGCCTTCTGGGAGTTGTAGGCCTAGCCGCCTCCCACTGCCACCCAGGCCGGCTAGGCCGTACTGGCACAGGCCAGATCATGACAGATGCCTAATAGCAATGACAGGTGAATGACAATAGCAGGCGTGATCGGATTAGGTGTGATATGCAGAGGGGTAGTAGGCTGTAATAGTTGTTTACTGTTGATTTATTGCATGGTATGTCCTCATTCAAAAGTGGAATAAAAACTCAGGTAGAAGGTAAGCCTTTCTCAGATTATATGAGTCCAGTTATTAATCTACCATAATCCAGACTAATAAAATGTGCCACAAGTTAAAACACCACCAGACTAGAAATTCATGTAGAGCCATTAACTTTGCAGTGTATTTAATTTTGTGTGTATGTACAAACTTTGGATTAAAGCAACAAGAATTTTAAACATTTATGTTGTTTTCAGTTAACATAACACAAGTAAAAACTTAAAGGAGACCCTAAGATAGTAACTAGATAGGCCTGGCCCATCTTTTATACATTAACTGTTTAGACTGGATCTGCCCTAAAATTCCACCCCTAACTGTTGTAAGCTTTGTCTTTATAACATAAGAAACATAAGCACAGCCTGCTGGAGCACACCAGTGGTCCATCTAGTCAAGCATACGTTTTCACACAGTGGCCAAACTTGGAGGTACCTTGGAGGGCCAAACAAACCTGCTATAGAGGCCAAGCTCCTTTCCTGATGTTGCCTCTCAGTGCTGATGGTATCCAGAGGTCTGCTGCTTCTGTAGAGGGAAGCTCCTTCAGTCACCATGTGTCAAACATTGCTCTGCTCAGTTTGCTATGGATGCTGGGGGGAAGGGAATTCCTTAGGTGGTAGTGAGTGAGTATGGAGTGTGTGACTGTGCTATCTTAGAGGCCGTAACTCTTCCGAAGAAGCCTTCCTCTCCCAGAGGAACGTCCTTGAAACTTTTGGTGCCAGCTTGCGTCTGTAGACAATGGGATCGTATATTTCCCAGGTGAAAGCGGTTAGAGATACTGTGGCTAGGCGGAGTGGATGTGACATATGTGTGGGCATTAGGAGGGATCACTTTTTATCTATGACTGCACCTGCCAAAATCTTCAGATCTGACACAGTACTGTTACAACCTGGATCTTGCTTATAACTCAATAAATGTATCACTGCCAAGGAGAGTGTTGTTGAGAGTAACTTGACCAGGAGTCTGACACCGTGGCTAGTAGCCACTGGTTGACCATTTCTCCATGAATCCGTCTCACCCCTTTTAAAGGTATCTATGCTCATGGCCATCACTACCTCCAATGGCAGTGAATTCCACAGTTTAATCACTTGCTGAGTAAACTATTTACTTTTGTCTGTCTGGCGCCTATTTCTGTACAACTTCATTTGGTGCCCCTGAGTTCTAGTATTATGGAAGAGGGAGAAGACTCTTTGGATCTGGAAGTAGTAATGATTAGCATCTATAGTGCTGCTTGATTTTCAGTATGTATATATATTATCTCTCAAGTCTTAAAACAACCCTGTAACGTATGACAGTTGTATTAACCCACACATTGCAGGCAGAAGGTGGGGCTAAGACTGAGAGAACTTGCCCGATTCCATGTGGCACATTAGTGGGAGAGGAGAGATTTGAACTGGAAACTTTCTGATCCCAATCCTTAACAATGCTACCATTGTTGACTCTAACTAGCCCTTCCTGGCAACTAACCCCCCACCCTCTCTCTACCTATATGTAATGGTTGAGGAAATTCTGTTTCACTGTACCTGAAGAAGTGTGCTTGCACGCAAAAGCTTATACCTTGAATAAAACTTTGTTGGTCTTAAAGGTGCCACTGGACTCAAACTTTATTCTGCTGCAACCCACCTGAATGCTACCACGAGTTCATGAAAAAGACAATACAAAAGATGGTTCTGGGGTGGAGTGTAACTGTTTTCTCTCTTGGCCAGAAATAGTTGTGTAGCATGTCTAAAGGGCACAACCTCCATACTCCCTTGCTCTATGGGATTATCAATAGGGAGAGACAACTGCTAAATGAAATGGAACAGCAGTACGAAGTTGGACTGAAAGATTGTTGAAACGTTGAGGCTCTGAGTTGCCTGATGCGCTCCCCTTCCTTTCAGGTGTTCCTGCATGAAGCTACTGTGCGCTTGATGGCGGGGGCCAGCCCCACACGCACTCATCAGCTGCTGGAGCATAGCCTCAGGCGCCGAACCCCCCAGAGCAGCAAGCAAGGTCAGTGAGCTCTTTTCCTTCTTGCCCAGCCATGGAAACTGTGTTTTAAAAGCCAGGACCAGTAGCATTGCTTTGTGCATGCAGCAGTCATAGAGAGCTGGCCTTCTAAACCACATGGCCGGGGGGGGGGGGGGGGGGGCGCTTGTTACAGCGGCGGCGGGGGGGGGGGGGGGGGGGGAGAGGCCTTGTTAAGTAAGCATTTCTAGAGAGAGATGTGATCTGAAGCATAGCAGAAATTCTTATGCTGTACAATAGTTGTTAGTTTCTTGATTTACCTTGGCCAGAGCTGCTGTGATCTTGAGAATTTCAGTTTTGCAATAAAAATTTTGCTGAGTTTTGTGAACCTTGTGTGGTAAAATTTAAGTGACACGGTTCATTTGCAAATGGTAATGTATCAAGTAAATGAGAAGAGTTCTCTCTCACAGACTGAGAATTAAAAATATGCAACTGTCCAAACTTAAAGCTTGTTTTAAATTATCAAGTACTTCAAAAGGTAACCCCTCCCGGAAGTCTTTCATTCTTGGTTTTGATTTGTTGATTCAGGGACAGATATAAATGAAATGAGGGGAAAGTGAGAAAGGGCCCTCTGAATAACTGGGTGGTCACTAGGCTGTGTAAACAGTGGTCAGTACCTTGGCTGGGTACTAGATACTCCCTCTCTGTGTACCCTCCCGTGATTCGGTGTGATTGGCTGGTGCTCTAACACAGGTCTCTTTTCATTTGCTACTGCCTCTACTCTGGAAGAGCCTGGTGGGACAGATGATGCCTTTCTGGCCTTCTGGAGAGCTTGCACAATGGACATATTCAGGAGGGCATTTGGACCTGGTTGAATTAGTAGTCTTGGGCCCAAGGCATGCAGACTGATGTGCTAAATTGTGGCCAGGGGTATTGATTTGCTGGCTCTACTTGTTTGGTTTCTGTGAGAGTTTTAGTTGTTACAATGTTTATTTTTTAAATATTGTTAGTCACCTTGGGTCCCAGCTGTATTGGGGGAAAGCTGGGCTTAAAAATACTTAAAATATATAGGTGCAGTCAGGGCTGCAAAAATAAGAGCTAACAAACGAACGAAGAAATTAATGTGCTAAAAGTAATAAGTAGTCATGGCGTAAAGATAGTCACTGCCTGATACTTGAGATTGCTAATTTTACAGGAAAGGAGGCTTAGAATGGGGAGGGTTGGCCTCGCCCACCTGTGGGGGCGTCCTGACTGTTTATCAGGACAAGGCTGCTGAGTCTGGGATGCTGGCCAGGTCTCAGCTTGGGGCATCCCATCCTGCAGAATAAATGATCGTCTAGAGCTTCAGTGGGTGTGTTGGTTGTGTTTCTGGCACTCTGCTGCATTGCATTGCATTGCACTGCACAGCCGTTTGCAGAGTCTGCATTTCATTTAACTCCCGTGAGACACCATTGACCTGGGATATCATCAGCGTTGGGCCTTTATTGTAACATCTCTTCTTTTCATACCTAGGTGAACTGGATGCTCTTCCCGGTCAGAGAGAGCGAGCGACAGCAATCCTCTTGGCCTGCCGCCACCTGCCCCTCTCCTTTCTGTCATCCCCAGGCCAGCGAGCTATTCTGCTGGCGGAAGCAGCCCGTACTCTGGAGAAGGTTGGGGACAAGCGTTCCTGCAATGACTGTCAGCAGATGATTGTGAAGCTGAGTGGGGGGACAGCCATCGCCGCCTCTTAACCCCGGCAGAAAGAGGGGCATACTGCAGCTTCCCATGGGACTAGATTCCTGCCCCTTTATACACCCTCCTTCCCTCTTGAACACTGTTCTAGGTTACGACCGTGGACATTTCCTTATGCTAGACACAGTTGGGTCTTGGAGTAAACTTACCTTTTTTATGGCTAGTAGTGAAGTCCTCCAAGCACAATAGGATGCCTACATTGGAGAGTGGTTTTTGTCACTGGCAGAGAGAACCTACAGAGCCTTAGAGTAGAGAAGCACCCCTTTCCCATTTGTAGAGGGGCTGGGTCCAGGAAGCTTGCTCTTCTACCTTTTCACGTAACAATTTATGACCAGAACCTATTTGGGGACCATGTGCTGTGGAGGCTGCAAAGAGGTTTCCGGACCCCTTTTCCAGCATCTGGGATGGCTCTTGATCCACTGTGGGTCAAATCTTATGTGCTGAGGCAGACCCAGAGAGGATCTAGCTATGGTAACTTTTACTGGTCCTCCCTGGTGTTATTTTTTTAAAATCAAAGCCTTTCTATAGATTCTACGTTTCTTGGAGGGCTTTGGGCGGTAATGCCGGCTCTCCTGGAGAAGTGTATCACTGTTTTTATGCAATTTGGGGGTTTTATAGCAATGTTTTGTGGCTTTACAAACTGTAGGGATAACAGTGAGGGTGTTTTTAATCTCTTCTGTCTCCTGCCTCTTACCCTTCCCTTTGTGTGTCTCTCTGTCTCCTGTCGGTCTGCAGCACTGTCGCTAGCCTCGGGATTGAGCCTTCTTTCTGTGTGCTGCCTCATGGATAACGGAAAGGAGAAGGCGCAAAATATAGTTTAAGTTAAAAAAAATATACTGGGAATCTCTTTCTTACATATTAATTTCAATGGCACTTTCTTCCATGTAAGTGTGTTTAGGACACAGCCATCAAAGACAGATTCGGAGCGCGCCTTGCATTACTACCCTAAGTGAACATAGCTCTGTTCTGCCATTTCTCTGGATGTTTTGGGGGAAGCCATGACAGTGAAGCAGCTCTAAAGATGGTTTTATACGTGTAGGGTGCGTGGGGGACTTGAGAGAATATAGAATGGCTGCAGCTGTGCCCCTTGTTGAGAGAACGGTTTGTAAGGAAATGGGTTCTGCCTTTTGCATGGAGTCTGAATCCCACAAACCCTGTTTGTCTGCCTCGGCCATTATGCTTTCTGTATCCTTGCTGTGTGTCTTGTTTTTTTCTTTCAAAATCAATGGTGATTCCTCTGTTTTTGAGAACAAAAGTACCTGAAGTCTAAACTTGGGGACCCCCCCTCCCCCTGGGCCCATGGATCTGTATATTGCATTGGACCTTGGTTTTCTTCTGCTTGTTGCTGCCCGCCCCTTGTGTATACAGCTGGGACACTGCTGTGGAAATAGGACTCTCAATTAAATTTTTCCCTGCAAGCCTCCAGCAAATAACTTTCAGTTCAAGTAAATGCCTTGCATCCTAAAATGCATTATCATAGGATGTCAAATTTTAAAATTCCACTCATAGAGTGACCCTGGATCTAATACCGTAATAAAATGTTAATTTCCACTGTATTGTGAAGGCTGTGACAAATTGCCTTTTCTCAATAGTCCTGAATATTTTTGAACAAAGAAGATGTGTATTTTCTTGAATGAAAGTTCTTTTTATCAGTGTGTGGGTGTATGTAGAACGTTCCATTTATATCTTCTGCCTTGTTCTGTCCTCAGAAACTCGCAGTGAAAGTTCCATTGGCTAATTGGATGCTACGTTGTTAGCACTGGTTGACAGGTGGGCTTGTCCCCTTGATTTCATTACATTATGATACAGAAAATCTTGTATGCTTTGCCTGTAAGCTCTGTATCTGCCATAGCAAGAGCTGTGCCTTGGTAAATGCAAAGGCAGTTCAGTGCAGCACACACTTGCTAAGCTGAAACCCTGTCATCGTCTATAGTAGATCAGAGTACCATCTGGTTATCTAAGGGCACTTTCCCATAGCAGCTCTGCCCAGTAATAGTTGCCCGAAATGAGAAGGGTAACAGAAACTACCTCAATGTAAAGGGTACCTCCTAGCACAGGAAGATTTGGCTGGCTCCGTGCCCCCAGTGCAGAACCTTCTGGTCTGTTTACAGTAGCAGCCCTCGGGGGTTGGCAAAGACCTTGCGATCTCTGGCAGCTGAAAACGTCTCCATCTTGAAGGTCTTAAAAGCAAGCAATTAACCTGCATTGCTAACTTTCTAAATTTCCAGATAGGGTAATGCGTCTCCGAACACATATCCCAATGATCTTGTGGAATACTATGGTCATCTCACAGTTCCATAGATTAAAAGCCGTGAGCCATTCATACTCACAAATAGGAGCCAGGGCTCCATCCAAGGTTGGGCATTGCAATCAAGGGCACAAACACGAGAAGAGGTCTCTGAGGGCAGGACTGAACTTGTGGAATGACACAAGACAGCCTTTGTGTAGACGGGACTTCCACAGAGTAACTACGCCAGGACTGACTGTCCACCTATTTTTGGTATTTCTCTCTTTTCTCCCCCTGCCCCTGGCTATGTAAGTTGCATCCCTCACATTCCTTTTTATACACCTTGTTTATTTATGGGTCTCTTGTCTCTCAATCTATCCCTATATTGTTTTTATGTATATAGTGTAATTTTTTATATATATATATGATGTGAAAAGTGTCTATTTATCCCAATAAAATTAGGCATATGGTTACTGTGTTGTGAGATGATGTCACTGGTGACGGTGTATGTTCCAGTTGTGCATCCTGTCCTGGGGATGATTGTGTGACTGCTAGCTAATAAAGACAAATAGTACGCGAGGTCTCTGATAGTCTCATTGATGAAGCTTCCTTCTAATTTGTGTTTTGGCTGAAGTGATGACTATCTAAAACTCAACCTATACATGTACAATATGTGCTTTCTAGATGTTATGGTGTTAAAGCAAAATGAGAGTTCCATGGCATTCTGATACCACAATCAGCAGTTTGGGTTTTATCCTGGGATCATCATTGGTGTTTATTTGGGCGCACACAGGATGCCTGCTGCAATCAGACTGAAGGTATCCCTCGTGCCCCAGTGGCTAACCAGATGGCTCTTAGATGCCCACAAGAAGAACACACTTAAAGCCTTCGCCTGTCGTCCTGCAGCAGCTCTTGTTCAGAGAGATGCTGACCCTGAACATGGGTTCCATTTAATCATCACGGCTAATAGCATCAGTGGACCCTATATCCATGAATGTAATCCCCTTTCAAAGCCATCCAACTTTGTGGCAAACATCTCATCTTGAAGCAGAGAATTTCTCAAGATAACTGTGTTGTATGAAGAAGTACTGATTTTATCTGTCCTGGATCCTCTTAGTAGTCGTGTCTTCTAAATTAAGAAGCGCTAGCCTCTTTAGCTTTGTAGGGAAGCACTTTCTCCTTTGAATGCCTCCTCCGTTTCTTTTATCTAAAGATCTGAATGTTGGTTGTGTTGGTGATAGTATATTCCAAATATTGTTATTTTTAAAATCTAGTGTTTTCCCATGGCCATGGGCTTTGTGCCTGTGCAGAGCTAGGATTCAGAAGCTTCTAGAAGTTCGAAGATCTCTGCCCCCTGCAGGGTTGCAGCTCTTAGACTGAGCATGCGCAGTGAGGAAGTGCTGTGCTTTCCTGCTCAGTTCTTTCATCCACTGTAGCATCAATTTGGGAACCTTCTCCATGAGATCTTCTTTCTCACAGCTAGTTGTTTTCCATTCTTAGTGAGTTTTCAGTGCTGATACTGAGGGGGAGAAATAACGAGGAGGGTTTTTTAGATTTCCTTATACAGGTTTTTCCTTCAGTGGTGCTGCTGAGGCATCTGTGGCTCAGAAATCTGTCCTCATGCGCTATCCACCAAGGGGCGAGGGCTTCTCTCACTGTAGTTCAGTTATATATATATCTGTATATACTCCTAGTGATGGCATCAAACACTGTTTCAAGTGCTGTCAGTAGTAGGCAGGCATAAAATCCTCGCTGTAGTTAGGTTATTTTTTTTAAATGGCCCCCCCCCCCCCCGATGATGTTTAGGCACCATGGTTATCTCTGATTGCTGCTGGCAAAAAGAAAAGCCTGTCATGAGGAAACAACATGCATTAGACTCCTGGACCATCTGCCTCAAAGTTCACTAAGGAGGTGCGCTGGCATCTTTGTAGGCTTTTCTCTAGAATGAGCCCTTATTGCCTTGGAAGGCATGGTGGGCCCCGCTGCATCTGTGCCGCCTGCTCCTGCTCCCTCAGCCTCTGGACAGTCTGACATTCGAGACTCAGCTTGGCGAACAGCCCTTGAGGAATTCGCCTCTTTTGGGGGCCTAAGAGGAAGGTTCACTTCAGGTGTACCATCAGTGAAAAGAGACCCAGACACCATCCATAAGAACATAAGAAACATAAGGGATGCCAATGTTGGATCAGGCCAAAGGCCCATCCAGTCCAACACTGTGTCACACAGTGGCCAGAAATACCAGGTGCCATCAGGAGGTCCACCAGTGGGGCCAGGACATTAGAAGCCCTCCCACTGCTGACCCCCCCAAGCACCAAGAAGTCAGAGCATTACTTGCCCCAGAGCCCCTATCTATACCTTGTGGCTAATAGCCACTGATGGACCCCTGCTCCATATGCTTATCTAATTCCCTTTTGAAGCCGTTAATCACTCTTTGGGTGAAGAGTGCTCTGGGTCCATTCATGCTCTGGCAGCTGGCACCTTTTGTAACAACAGTACAGGTTTCCATATCCAAGCTTTTGGGCTTTGGTGCCTCCACAGACCTCTGGTTTCTGGATTCTCTCAGAAATCTGTCTGCTTCCTCATTGCAGCACCGAGGGTTGTCTAGATCACTTTAGACTGCTTCTAGTATCAGTCCCGTTGGTCATGGACTAGACATGCAAACTCCTATTGTTTTTCTTGTGTTCATTCCCAAACTCACCACTCTCACTTTCTGCCTTGGTCTTGAGATTGTTGAACCTGATCTTGTAGTAGCTGCTACCCTTTCTGTAGCTGTAAAAGCTGCTACCCTTTCTACCAGTCTCTCCAGATGTCCTGGAGGAGTATTGGAGGGATGGCTCCATACAGTTAGTGGATTTTGACATGGCCAGTGGTATCCGGAGCCTTTCTCTGGTACTGAGCATGGTCTGCAAACTGTCCCCTTGGTCTAAGAACGTGCTGTATGGACCCTGCCTGCTGATCAAGCAGAGGTATCAGCCAGGACTGCCTCTGCTCCAGCATTGCTGAGGACAAGAAATCACAGGTAAGTCCAAGTTTTATTATTTCCCCCATGCACAGATAACCAAGTACTGTCACTATTTCATTCTTGTGTTTCTTCTTTCCCAGATTGCTGAGGCTCCAAGCAGAGTATGGTGAAACCAGAAGGAGCATTATTAAGGGGAATAGTTTGCACACTAAAACATTTAGGCTAGCCTTAGGCATACAGCAGTAGAATGGTGGTGGTAGGAAGCCCGTTTTGAGAGGCGAAGAGCAGGGCCTTCCGTGGGTGCCGCCCTTCTAATGGGGAAGATCAACAACTGCCCCCTCTGCCTGCGCATTCTGTGTTTCGGCCTCTGCCTTGCGGAAGGGCCTGCCTGAGATGATCAGGAAAGGCTCTCATGCTTCTGTCTTTCTGCAAAGTGTGTAAAGCAGAATCGTTCTGATCTGAAGGGCATTTGTATGAAGCGTAGTAAGGCTCTAATATGACAAGGGCACTTTAATAAGGGAAGGCAGGGCTGTGAATGATACCACTCGTTATATGCTTATTGCTTTATGTATTATCCTACTTTCACTGCTTTGTCCTCATACTTCTGTAATACCATTTTCTGCAGTCCCATTTTATGCATTAGTTTAATACTTTATGCCTTGTTCTGGATTGCAATAATCCTGTACTGATTGCATCGGTTTACACGGCCATCTGCATTGAGGCTTGCTAAGGTGGACTATAAATAAAGTAAGTAAATAAAAACCAATATACAGGCTGTTTGCATTTTATTTTCCTAGTGGCCAGCAGAGGGTGGCAGCAGCCGAGCAAAGTTTTAACACCAACACCCCCCCTCCTCCTCCAATACTGAAACTGAAGCTCAAATACTTTGGCCACCAAATGAGCAGGGAGCACTCACTGGAGAAGACCCTGATGCTGGGAAAGACTGAAGGTCAAAGAAGACGGGGGACGGCAAAGGATGAGATGGTTAGACAGTGTCATAGATGCAACGAACATGAAATTGAGCAAGCTTCAGAGGATGGCGGAAGATAGGAAGGCCTGGCGGGAGCTGGTCCATGGGGTCGCGAAGAGTTGGACTTGACTGTGTGACTTAACAGTAAAACCCAAACGAGCCCTTTGCCGAGGTTAACTTAGGTTTTCATAGGGCTCAAATTGGAATCATACCCTAAAAACCCTCAAGTAGAGCTTACATGGGAGGTGGGATTCTAAGGCCACATCTCTCTGCCTGTGCTAATAGCCCTGATGCAATACTTCATTTTCAGTGTCCTTTGAATATACACACATAGCATAGAGTATTTGCTCCTAATCAGGCAACCCCCCCCAAAAAAAAACCTCCAAAAGGAATGCCTTAAACACTAATTGAGAGCACACAGCATTCAAAAATGGGCTCCTGTCTTCCCTTCTTTTTTGAAGAAATTATCTCTCCAGGGATTAGCATGTAAGTAGTCGGTAGTTCAGCAGTTTGAGACCCGAGTGCCACATGATGGAGTGAGCGCCCGTCTCTGCTTCCAGCTCCTGCAGTTTGAAAGCAAGAAATTGCAAGTAGATAAACAGGTACCACTTCGGTGGGAAGGTAACAGTATTCTGTGCGCCTCAGTGTCTAGTCATGCCGGCCACATGACCACGGAAACATCTTCAGACAGCACTGGCTCTTCGGCTTTGAAACGGGGATGAGCACGGCAACCCTAGAGTCGGATTCGACCAGCTTTCAAGCAAGGGAAACCTATATGAATATGCTGGGCTGTGGTGGCTCAGAGGTTAAGATGCTGAGCTGCAGACTGGAAGGTCTGTAGCTCAGCAGTTCAAGACCCTAGTGCTGCAGGACGGAATGAGCCTCCGTCTCTGGCCCCAGCTCCGGCCAACCTAGCAGTTCAAAAGCAAGAAATTGCAAGTAGATAAATAGGTACTGCTTTGGTGGGAAGGTAACAATGTTCTGTGCTCCTCGGCGTTTAGTCGTGCCAGCCACATGACCATGGAAACGTCTTCGGACAGCACTGGCTCTTCGGCTTGGAAATGAAGATGAGCACCGCCCCCTAGAGCCGGATTCGACTAGCTTTTGAGCAAGGGAAATCTTTATATGAACGAGACGTAGCACGTTTTAAAACAAGGCCCACAGCAACAACAGTAGAGGAAGCGGGAGAGGCCAGACGGAGCGACAGTCTGGGTGTGTGGAGGTGGGTCAATATAAGACACTAAGAGAAGGTTCAGTGAGGAACTTTTATCTTGAAGAAATCAAGAAAGCATTTGGATTGGTGTTAGGATGTATTTTAGCCTACACTAGCCATTGGTAGGCATATTGCAGGGAAACCCACTGGTGTAGTCCTAGAGGGGTCCCCCCATCTGCCCCAATTGTCACAATACAGTTGGGTTTTAGTCCACTGATTTGAACTCTGATATACGTGGATTGTAACTAAAGGAGGAAAAGGTATTGCTACTCATTTGCATCATGGGCCAGTTCAGTTCAGTGGCCCTAAAGGGCCAATTCATTGAGTAATAAGCAAACTAGAATTACTGCTGCTTAATTCAAGACAGTTCAACCCATCTACAAAATCTCAGAGGAGTTAAAGCTTGGCCCAGTCTGACTTGTATCCTTCTCCCCCCACCGTGGCTGCCTTTCCACAGCAGGGGAAGGAATCTTTTCTCTGTTTCTGGGAGACTGAAATGTCTTGTAAGTTGGCCTGTCGCCCCACCCTTCTCCCCTCTCCTCCCACACAGTCTTTTCTAGAAGCAAAATCAGGTTGGCAGAGAGTTTTTGTTTGGAGGGCCTGTTCCTGTTCTGCTATTAAAGATTAATACTCCTGTGGGATTCTCAGCTTAAGATGCTAGAATGAGGCCAACCTGCTCTGGGCATCTGCACAAGTTCTTTGTTTCTCTTCTGATAGTGGCAGTGTTTTTGTGAAGGCAAAATCCTTCGGCTGCTTCTCAGTTTCGGAAAACAGCAACCGTGGCAGCCGTTCTGACTGATCTGATGGAATTAGGAATTTACATTGCCTTTAAGCCAGCTGTTGTAAGAAAAGTATGAAATACTTGAAGCCTTCTGCTCTTGGAAAGTGCACCTAACAGAGCCCATGTTACAAATGGTTTCTGGTCCACCTAAACCATGGAAGTGTGGAACTGTTTGAAGGAATCTGGGGCCTGAAGTCAAAGCAAAACTTAGGTGCCTCTAGTGGGAGGCAGAGGAACATTACTGGGAGTACAAGATGGGGTACTGTAAAGGTTCCCTTGCTCGAAAGCCAGTCGAGTCCGACTCTAGGGTTGCGGTGCTCATCTCCGTTTCAAAGCCGAAGAGCCAGCGTTGTCCAAAGACGTTTCCGTGGTCATGTGGCCGGCATGAATAAACACCAAGGCGCACGGAACGCTGTTACCTTCCCACCAAAGTGGTACCTATTTATCTACTTGCAATTTCTTGCTTTCGAACTGCTAGGTTGGCAGGAGCTGGAACTAGAGACGGGAGCTCACTCCGTCATGCGGCACACGAGGGTCTCAAACTGCTGAACTACCGACCTTCCACAGCCTGCAGTTCAGCGTCTTAACCACTTGAGCCACCACAGCTCCTTGGGGTACTGTAGTCTGGCATAAAAAAGCAAGATTGTTTCCCTCCATGGACATAAAACAAGGTTCCCCTTTAAGAAGGGTACAAGCAAGACATCTAGGTTGTTCCTTTTTTTTTAGTCCTGACTAAGAGCATCTGACGGGCTGGGCAAGTCATTGTTTTCTCTGTTCCTTCCATCTATGATATGAATTTCTGATTATTTTTATGGTGATTGAAACTTCTAGGCCAAAATGTGAAGAAATAGCAAAATAGGTTTGCCTACCTTGCCCTGCCTAACTAGAATGATAAAAGGGTTGGAACATTTTCCCTATGAAGAAAGGTGAAAATGCTTGGGGCTCTTTAGCTTGGAGAAACGACGGCTGAGGGGTGACATGATTGAGGTTTATAAGATTATGCATGGGAAAGAGCAGGTAGAGAAAGAGGTACTTTTCTCCCTTTCTCACAGTACAAGAACTCGTGGGCACTCCATGAAATTGCTGAGTGATCGGGTTAGAACAGATAAAAGGAAGTACTTCTTCACCCAAAGAATGATTAACACATGGAATTCACTGCCACAGGAGGTGGTGGTGGCTACAAGTACGGACGGCTTCAAGAGGTAATTGGATAAACATAATAGCTATCAGTGGCTATTAGCCACAAGGTATAGATAGGGACTCTGGGGCAAGTGATGCTCTGTATTCTTGGTGCTTGGGGGGGGGTCAATAGTGGGAGGGCTCCTAGTGTCCTGGCCCCACTGCTGGACCTCCTGATGGCACCTGGTATTTTTGGCTACTGTGTGACAGAGTGTTGTTGTGTGACAGAGTGTTGGACTGGATGGGCCATTGGCCTGATCCAACATTGGCTTCTCTTATGTTCTTACGTTCTTAAACATGAACCATTTCTGCTATGGTGAAAGTGAGGGGAGGAGGCCATGTGACCTCAGCACTGTGTTATATTGGGTGGTGGTATGCATTACTTTTATTATTTGACTAAGGACAACAATGTACATACCAAACTTACTCGGGCCTTAGCAAGCCTCAGCACTCAAGTTCTTTGTGAAGGTGATCTCCATGCCCTTTTCCGGTCAGTCCCTTGACCTGTTTCACCTACCTGTAATTCCTCCTCCCAACCCTGTCCGGGCCAATATTCCTCTTCTATGCTACCCAAGAAGAGGCAAGGGACAGACTGCATGTACAGCTATTGTTAAAGGCTGCTCAGTAGTGATTGTGTTATAGCAGAGCTGTGTCTCCCCAGACCTTAACCGTGTCCTCCTTTCTGTGTCAGAGCTTAGACCAAGAATATTGGAATTAACCATATCAGTGCTTAGTTCTTGTGGCCCTTCTCACACGCCCAGGGAAATGCTGATCACCATTTTGGGGCTGGGAAACAATTTTTATCCAGGCCAATTTGGCTGGAGATCCTGGGGATTTTTTTTTTCATCTTCTGGGTGTGGAATAAAGGTCACTGGAGGTGTGAGGGGGTAGGTATTTGTGAATGTCCTGCATTGTGCAGGGGTTGGACTAGATGACCCTGGAGGTCCTTTCCAACTTTATGATTCAATATAAAGCAAGAGCAGCTATGAGTACAGGCAGAGTGATTCATCTTTACCCATACAGGGAAAACTGAATGACAAAAATGACAGTGTAGAAGTGGCCAGAGTGAGTGGTCTCTGCTATCCTTGATAGTCTTTGAAGAGGAAACTGTGGCAAGGAGATAATGTTAGACTGCACAAAGCAGGTGGTGAATCTTATAATTCTACCTTTATGCATCCAGTGTACTTTTTCAGTCAGTGAAAACAAAAAGGAGTCTTAACAGATCCTGACAGACTTTTTGCTTAATTGGTGAACAGTGTTCCTGTGGCTTTTCAACTTTTACAAGACCTTATTTTAATTTGAAAATATCAGATCCCGGAGGGAACAACCCCATGTGTGCCGCTGCGCTCTCAAAT